ACAAAAAAAAAAAAAAAAAAAAAAAAAAAAAAAAAAAACAACCAGAAAATCCAGATAGGAGTGTCTTTGGGTCATTGCTCTGTGTTGATCAACTAATATTTGTTTCATGTTGTTCCAGATTTTCCGAATTGATTGGGATCGATCTATCGGGAAAGATGATCGATTTTGCGGAACGAAATAGCAAACTTCCAGGGATCGGTTTTATTCAGCAAGATGCCAACAAAATCGGGGAGCTACAGCGATATTACCCATCCGGGTTCTCACACATGATATCCTCGTTCACCTTCCACTGGCTCATGGAATACAGGCAAGATCTGCTTTCAGAATGTATACTACAAAATAAATTCCTTCTTTCAGCATTGCGAAAAATTTCAGATGAAAGCAATGCATTTCGAAACAACGAGAATCCAATCATACGCGATTTGAAATTAAAGCGAAGTTTTCTCTCCGAATTTTGCTAAAGCGAAGGAGCATAGAAAAGTCGTGTACCTGCTGCTCGCGGATTTTATGGACAGACATAATATTTTTAAATTTGTATTTAATAATTCAACTCAAAACTACAACTGGATTATACAGCAGTAGTCTAAGATATGAGTTTTATTTTCATTCGATCCTATTTTCATCAACAGAGAAACGTTGAAAGACTTGGGAAAAATGGTGAGAAAGGATGGAACGTTGTTTCTGCTGTTCGTCGAAAGTTGCACAATCTTCGACATTTACTTGGAATTTTCGCGATCTGACAAGTACGGAAAACACATGAAGGTCAGTTTTGATACTACATGCCGTCCTTTTTAAGCATCAGCCCATCATTTGAAATCAATTCGACCTAATTTCGGGATTGGGACAATTAAAAATACTAGCATATCGGCGCGACATTTCTTTTTCAGTGCATTTTTAAAAATTGTAACCAGAGTTAGGAACTGAATTATTTTTTCCGGTGTGTATCATCCACGTAGTTTTATCAAAATCCAAAGTTTTCTTTAAGATGATGGCGATGGAAAGATTAGAACGTGCCGAATTAAAAAAGGAAATTATTATATATTCAGATGCCCTGAAAGGAACGACTATAATTTTTTCACTTAGGAAAAAGAGTACTTTTCTGGACCTGAAATCAGTGACCTCATACGGATAAAAAAATAAGTTTCGCCCCAAATTTTCAGGTAATATTTTTATCTGCATTTTCTAGGTTCAAACATTTAAAAAAGCAATTTACTGTACTGTATAGTACCTCATATAATTCCTAGGACCCTTGCAGATAGCGGCCTGAACATCGCGTCCTTGCCATGTTTTCGGAAAACGGCTGGTCTTTTTTTTCCGGGAAAATATACTTCAGTACTTTTCATGTTTTCATTTTCTAAGGCTTCGGAGATTCGCATAACCTCGTAGTTTATTGAATTTTTTGAGCGCGTGCTTGGATACAGTGCATTTAATGGAAGATTATGATAGAAGCAGATACAGTATTGAACATTATAATGAGTCTCATATGCGATTGATGGAGGAGAAATTCATCGATTCATGGCTTTTTCAAAATCTCCTCAGCAATCGAATAACTTTCAACGATAACCCATTTTAAGCGATGTCTGGTTATATTAAGCCACAGCGGGGGAAAAAACGAGAGCCAAAAGTAAAAATGCCCTAGAGCGAGTTCAAAATCTATTGCTATGTTAATATTACTGGATTTGCATAACCTCGCAGTTTCTCGATTTTTTTTGGCATGTCAATACAGTGTATATGGAACTGTGATGGAAGCAGACACGCAAAATTAAAATTAGTCTCATATGCGATTGATCGAGGACAAATATTCATCGATTAATTCATGGCTGTTTCAAAATTTTCTCTGCGATCGATTCATTTTCGTTCATAACCCATTTGAAGCAATGCCCGCTAAATGTAGGTCGCAGTGCAAAAAAAAAATGAAGGGAAACTCAAGAGTAAAATTCCCTATAGACTGCTTAAAAGAGCGAGTTCAAAATATATTATTAGTGCTTTTTAAAAAGGTGGGGGGGGGGGGGGGGGGGGCCTTGGCNCAGGAAAAAGGTCAAAGGTTGCATCGGCTCGCCCGGTGGCACCTTTCCGACCTCGGCTGGGGTTTCGAGATGAGTGATGGAGATACCCGGAAAAAGCATCGCGAACCCGCGGGTATCGAAAAAGCCGGACCCGGTCGCCGGAAATCAAGGACTGAGCTCACCAACATCAGGGTTGGGGAAAAAATGCATGAAAAAGTGCAATGCGCGCCGCTTTGGCAGCCACGTGAACAATAGTGCGAAAATGTCGATGCGTTCCGAATTATCGAATTGTACTCAAATAGTACTGTACTGTACAGCTATGAGTACAATAATAAGACGCGATTTCTTTTGCGAAAAACTCGGCATAAAAAAATAATAGAATGCGTCTATAAATAATTGGCAGCGTTTTTAATTCGCAAGCAAATCGAACGATTACCTTCGAAGAAAGAAAATATTCTACAAATAAATTTGATTCTCGATTCATGGAAGAAAAAAAAACTCGCAAATATTTCAAGTTCATGGGGACTACAGAGGGTTAGAACTCTAATATATCCTGCAGCAGGATCTTGAGAAGATTGATCTGGCAACATAACTAAAGCATAAGTAAAATCAAAGGACTCTTCTGACGCAGAAGTGATCGAACGTGATGGAAGTGTTTCTTACATTTTCATGAAAAATAATTTGAATTTTTCAGCCTAAAAAAAAAAACAGAGATAACTCTTATTTTCGAGAAAAAGCAGTACCAAATTTTGAGTAAAACATCTCGGGCACAGGGTTGAGGTGGAATTCAACAGTGTTAGCTTTTTAATTATACTGTATTAATTTTGAATCAAGCATGAACTCCATTTTTTCTGGAGTAAAAATAATGGTACAATTTTCTCGAAGCAGCAAAAAAATTTTCTCGAAGCAGCGACAATAGATAATCAATCTATACTCGAAGCTTTCCGGTTTTCTCCAGATTCGACAGTGTTCGCACACTTCTTTTATAGAAAGCAAGATTCTTTCCGCGGATCCGGTCAACTGTTTTGCAGATTAGGTGTCATTTACAAAGCATTTTTTTGTATTTATTAGTGGATAAACTTGAGAGAGAACCAGAAGTATTACCAATGCTCGCAGATTTGATAGGATACCTTGAATGACCTCCAGCATTTTTTCAAGCTTCCAATTCTTGATATCCTATTCAAATACCTTAGATGTCTTCATAAAAGTCTTGAAAGCGTTTTAAACCATTTTTCGAAATTGTCGAGTTGTGTAGATTTGTATGTGAACAAGCATATGAGAAAATTTTCGATTTTTAAACCTCTTTATGGATTAAAAAACCATACAGAATCTATAAAAATCTTGCATGCATTGATCTTAATTGTCTGGCCTTTTTCACGAAACTATAGACATAAGAAAGGTTGCTAAAATTAAGTAGCCCACAATTATTTGGCATTAATGAGACGAACTGAAGTGACTTCCGTGTTCCGGGAAATTCTATAAATGTTTTAGTAATGCTTTGCATGTTTGCCCTCTCATCGTCTGATTCATCACATTGCTCAGTTTCTGTTGGCAAAACTGTTTTCTCGAATTTTCGCATTTTAATTTCAAATTTTAGAGGAGTATGTGGTAAATAACTCATCCGCTCAGTAAAAAAAAAAAACAATATTGATAGCTAATGCTCGTCCCTTGAATGGGAATGCAGAAAATTAAAAATTCCATTAAAATCTTTTTGAACATGTGTCTTCAATTACGAGGGCATGACGCAAACTCAAATAACTGAACAACGGTAGTTTTTACCTGAAAATTTAATGCAAAATTGGCATTTCTCTGACTCAAAGAGGATATTCCTGATGGTGGAAATGAGCGATATATGCGAATTCGAAAAGAAACCTGTGTGCTCGCCAACTGAAACGTCGGCAAAACCCGGCACGTGCTGTACTGACGTCATAACCCCCTTCCCCTTTTGATGACGCTTCAGCTTTTCTATCTTTTTCAGTGCATTTTTAAAAATTGTAACCAGAGTTAGGAACTGAATTATTTTTTCCGGTGTGTATCATCCACGTAGTTTTATCAAAATCCAAAGTTTTCTTTAAGATGATGGCGATGGAAAGATTAGAACGTGCCGAATTAAAAAAGGAAATTATTATATATTCAGATGCCCTGAAAAGAACGACTATAATTTTTTCACTTAGGAAAAAGAGTACTTTTCTGGACCTGAAATCAGTGACCTCATACGGATAAAAAAATAAGTTTCGCCCCAACTTTTCAGGTAATATTTTTATCTGCATTTTCTAGGTTTAAACATTTTAAACAGCAATTTATTGTACTGTATAGTACCTCAAATAATTCCTAGGACCCTTGCAGATAACGGCCTGAACATCGCGTCCTTGCCATGTTTTCGGAAAACGGCTGGTCTTTTTTTTCCAGGAAAATATACTTCAGTACTTTTCATGTTTTCATTTTCTAAGGCTTCGGAGATTTGCTTAACCTCGGAGTTTATTGAATTTTTGAGCGCGTGGATACAGTGCATTTAATGGAAGATTAGGATAGAAGCAGATACAGTATTCAACATTATTATAATGACTCTCATATGCGATTGATCGAGGAAAAATTCATCGATTCATGGCTTTTTCAAAATCTCCTCAGCAATCGAATAACTTTCAACGATAACCCATTTTAAGCAACATCTACAGCGGAAAAAAACCAAAGCCAAAAGTAAAAATGCCCTAGAGCGAGTTCAAAATCTATTGCTATGTTAATATTACTGGATTTGCATAACCTCGCAGTTTCTTGATTTTTTTGTTGGGCATGTGGATACAGTGTAGATGGAACTGCGATGGAAGCAGACACGCAAAATTAAAATTAGTCTCATATGCCATTGATCGAGGACAAATATTCATCGATTAATTCATGGCTGTTTCAAAATCTTCTCTGCGATCGATTCATTTTCGTTCATACCCCATTTGAAGCAATGCCCGCTAAATTTAGGTCACATTGCAAAAAAAATAATGAAGAGAAACTCAAGAGTAAAATTCCCTATAGACTGCTTATAAGAGCGAGTTCAAAATCTATTATTTTTGAAAAAGGGGGGGGGGTGGCCTAGCTCACATAACGAACGAAGCACCTAGCACTCATTAAAAATCCTCTTTTGTGAGTGCAGTCGCTGCCTTTTTATTCCCTCAATAATAATGCGGAAACGGGGAAATTTCCAGTTGACTGGCATATATGAAATAAGAGCCGGGTTCCACGCGGGGAAGCAGCAGCATTGGCGCTCCAGTTGATAATCGCCCGAATCACGGGAACAAGTACTGTGGCTTTTCCAGTACGAGACCCGCGCGGGGGTCGGTGGAGGAAAAAGGTCAAAGGTTGCATCGGCTCGCCCGGTGGCACCTTTCCGACCTCGGCTGGGGTTTCGAGATGAGTGATGGAGATACCCGGAAAAAGCATCGCGAACCCGCGGGTATCGAAAAAGCCGGACCCGGTCGCCGGAAATCAAGGACTGAGCTCACCAACATCAGGGTTGGGGAAAAAATGCATGAAAAAGTGCAATGTGCGCCGCTTTGGCAGCCGCGTGAACAATAGTGCGAAAATGTCGATGCGTTCCGAATTATCGAATTGTACTCAAATAGTACTGTACTGTACAGTGTTTATATGAGTACAATGCAAAATTTCTTTTGCGAAAAACTCGGCATTCAAAAAATAATAAAATGCGTCTCATATACTGTACTCGATTTTGTCCCATATTTGGTAGCGTTTTTAATTCGCAAGCAAATCGAACGATTACCTTTGAAGAAAGAAAATATTCTACAAATAAATTTGATTCTCCATTCATGGAAGAAAAAAAAATCACAAACATTTCAAGTTCCTGGGGACTACAGAGGGTTAGAAATCTGATTTCTCCTGCAGCAGGATCTTGAGAAGATTGATCTGGCAACATAACTAAAGGATGAGTAAAATCAAAGGACTCTTATGACCCAGAAGAGATTGAATGTGATGGAAGTGTTTCTTACATTTGCATGAAAAATTAAATTTCTTTTTTAGATAAAAAAAAACAGAGATAAATTTTATTTTCGAGAAAAAGCAGTACCAAATTTTTAGTAAAACATTCTGGGCACGTATACAGGGTTGAGGTGGAATTCAACAGTGTCAGCTTTTTCATTGCATTAATTTTGAATGAAGCATGTACTTCATTTTTTCTGGAAATGGTAAAATAATGGTAAAATTTTCTCGAAGCAGCGACAATAGATTATCAATCTAAACTCGAAGCTTTCCGGTTTTGTCCAGAGAAGTCTATTCGAAAGTGTTTGCACACTTCTTTTATAGAAAGCAAGATTCTTTCCGTGGATCCGGTCGACTGTTTTACAGATTAGGTGACATTTATGAAGCATTTTTTACATTCATCAGCGTATAAACTTGAGAGAGAACCAGAAATATTACCAATGCTCACAGATTTGGGTAGATACCTTGAATGACCTCCAGCATTTTTTCAAGCTTCCAATTCTCGATCATATCCTATTGGGAAATAGTCAAATACTTTAGAAGTCTTCATGAAAGTCTTGAAAGCATTTTGAGCCATTTGTCTAAATTTTCGAGTTGTGTAGATTTGCATGTGAACGAGCATATGCGAAAATCGTCGATTTTTAAACCTCTTTATATGGTTTGAAAAACCATTCAGACGCTTTAAAAAAATCTTGCATGCATTGATTTTAATTGTCTGGACTTTTTCACGAAACAATAGACATAAAAAAGGTTGCTAAAATTAGGTAGCCCACAATTATTTGGCATTAATGAGACGAACTGAAGTGAATTCCGTGTTCTGGGAAATTCGATAAACGTTTTAGTAATGCTTGGCATTTTCGCCCTCTCATCGTCTGATTCATCACATTACTCAGTTTATGTTGGCAAAACTGTTTTCTCGAATTTTCTCATTTGAAAATGTTCAATTCAAATTTTAGAGGAGTATGCGGTAAATAACTCATTCGCTCAGTTAAAAAAAACACAATATTGATAGCTAATGCTGATCGTCCCTTGAATGGGAATGCAGAAAATTAAAAATTCCATTAAAATCTTTTTGAACATGTCTCTTCAATTACGAGGGCATGACGCAAACTCAAATAACTGAACAATGGTAGTTTTTACCTGAAAATTTAATACAAAATTGGCATTTCTCTGACTCGAAGAGGATATTCCTGATGTTGGGTTACTCGCTATATACGCTTAAGCTTTTCTTTGGACACACGAGCGGTTGACTTTGCAGCCGTTTTGGGCCGTGCACGACATGACTGCAGTATTGGGGGAAGGGGAAAACTACTGCGAAGTCGAAAAGATTTCTGGATTTTACAGCAATTTCATTTTCCAGATCCTAGCTCTTTTATTATGTTTTTTTTCCTCGAGGCCCCATAAAAATGTTGAATTCGAATGAGCAATCATTCCTGCGCGCCACACGCCATCTCCTTCAGGCCAGTACAATATAAATAGTTATATAGTCATACAATATACTGTATAAAGTGTAGTTATATTGATACCAACGTGGAACTTCCATGCATAAATTACGCTGTTCCAACAATTCATGAAAACCCCGCTGTTTGTGTATAAACCTATACTTCGGATTTCTTGAATCTTCCGCATTTTCCTTTTTCTTTCCATGCCAAAAAAAAAAGCTGAATGAAATATCGCTTTGTCGTCGACGAAGTACTTTTCATCCATTCTGAGCAGTCAACATTTTTATGACCACTATAAATGGTACTGTACTAACTTTTCGAGGATAATTTCGAAAATTCGTTGATCATGATGCTATATAAGTTTCACTATATAAGTTTCACCTATATAGCGTTTCTTCGAAAAGTTTCTATTATCCCGGCTTTCCGACACTATATAAAACACTTCCAGATTTTCCCTACGTACTTTTTCGTCTTTGTCATACAAAAGTTTTAAAATTTATGCTCATCGTGACGAATAAATTGGATCAATGGAAAGAATTGCATTCGAGTATCAAATCCGTGAAAAAGGAAAAAAAACAATTATACAGACAGGAGAAAATTATTTTCGGAATTCTTTTCGGTGAGCTCACCATTGTTCCACTCCAAAATGTTCGCAAAAATCAGCAAAAAATCCGAAATTCCGAAAAGCTCAAAATAATTAAGAAATGTGTATCAATTGTGGGCTACCTAATTTTAGCAACCTTTTTTATGTCTATTGTTTCGTGAAAAAGTCCAGACAACTAAAATCAATGCATGCAAGATTTTTTTAAAGCGTCTGAATTGTTTTTCAAACCATATAAAGAGGTTTAAAAATCGACGATTTTCGCATATGCTCGTTCACATGCAAATCTACACAACTCGAAAATTTAGACAAATGGTTCAAAATGCTTTCAAGACTTTCATGAAGACTTCTAAAGTATTTGACTATTTCCCAATAGGATATGATCGAGAATTGGAAGCTTGAAAAAATGCTGGAGGTCATTCATTTGGCCACCCAAATCTGTGAGCATTGGTAATATTTCTGGTTCTCTCTCAAGTTTATACGCTGATGAATGTAAAAAATGCTTCATAAATGTCACCTAATCTGTAAAACAGTTGACCGGATCCACGGAAAGAATCTTGCTTTCTATAAAAGAAGTGTGCAAACACTTTCGAATAGACTTCTCTGGACAAAACCGGAAAGCTTCGAGTTTAGATTGATTAGGCATCCCTGTAAAGTCAAGAAATGATGACTTTTTGAATGAAACTTTCCCATTTGAAGGTTCGCCTGCATAATTAAGTGGCGGGTCGTTTTCAAGGTCATATCAGTTACCGCTCAAAGAGTACCCAGCAGCAACCGTCGGAATTTAAATATCCGGATGACGAATCTGATTTAAATTCTCAGAGAAAGAAAATGATAAACTATTTGTATAGATTTTCCAGCCGACGTTCATTGATTTTCTTCTCTCTGGAGAAGTTGGGGTAAAGCAATCCCCATCAGGCATGGCTTCAAATCGCCGCGTTTATGACCTCAACTCGGTATTCATCGATCCATCAACCACGCATTTGCGTTTTTGGTCAACAGAGAGGGAAAAAAATATTTTTCAAGAAGTCTTATGAAGACGTAGTATAGCTAACGAGGTAGACAAACAAAATGGAAAACTTTAATTGCCTGCCTCTCAATTGCTAATACTGTATGACAATAGAAAAGCAAATGCATTCCAATAATCAAGTATATACAATACTGTATTTGAAAAGGAGTGGCATGAAAAAAAAATTGCAATCCAAATGCATTTTTTGGATTAGCTTAAAATCGTCAGATGGTTTGCGGGTGAATGAAATTATCGTTATAAAAATTCCATCGGCTTTTAGTTTCTAAATGGAGCCTGCGTGTGTCAAAAGCTATAGAATCGTTCATGTACGAATAATTATTACTGTACTAATATGTTTTTTATGCATGAATACTGATTGTTATCAAGCTGACTCAAGGAATTTAAAAATCGCAGCTATAGCAATTATACTTCTAAATTTTGAAATATTGTACGTATAGTTCTTTTAAACAGCAATTCGGCGATGAAAATGTTTTTTTAAGTTTCCAAAGAATCAACAGAATTAGTAAAATTGTTTTACTCGCTTTTCCTTGGTTTGAATGACACGAGAAATGAGGATGTGGGAAAATCTACATTAATTATTCGTGTTTTCAATTTTAAACATTGCAATTTCGCAGCGTTGAATAAAAATGTGCTCCAAAGAAACTTAGGTTTCTGAGCCATTTTCATCATGCGCACTACTACTGCATGAATACTGTATATTTTTACTTGATATCTTTTTTCAATTGAGCCAGTGAGAATTAAGCTTGCGCACATGTCGATGTCTTGGTGTCTCTGACATTTTTTCACAGGATACCCCGTTTCTTCAAAATGTGTAAGTCATCAGAACGAATTTATTTGGGCAGCAATTCTTTAACAGGAAGACTTCAAAGGAATAAACTTTGACTTATTCGGGTCTGTTTCAACAAATCGAGATTTCGGGAATTGTATCCGAGAGGTCGTACATTTTAGATTTCGATAAGGAAGAGTTCATCAAGTCCAATTTAAATTTTTTCATTGGGAAATGAGCCACTTTCTAGCATGTAATTTCGGGTTTTCTATTACAATTTTGTGCTCCAATTGAGATGAATCCCGAATCGCGATTCACTTGAACAGAGTATGAGTGAGTTCACATTTCGAGACAATCTCCGTATTAAATTCATTTTTCACAAAATTTTCTCTCTTACCGCGTCACATGCGCTTTTTTCGAGGTTTAAATGGAAATCGTAAACCTAAGCTTTTTCATGCACTTGCTTTCAAAATAAGGTATCTTACGATTTGCCTGAAATAGTGTTTTCTTCCCAAATGTCGCATCGTATTATGTTGAGTATTCATTTAGGAGTACAGGCACCACTTTTATGAGGTCGATGCATTCGAATATATATAGGGACTCGAATACAGGCCCCTTGAAATTCGGTCAGTGAAATTTCGTCGCAAAAAATCTCTAAATTAAGAATTATTGCTAACAATGAATTTTGTCAACGTCCCTGACGATGACCAATATGCTGGCCTTATTTTTTTAAATCGAATTCGTGATGCATAATACCGTGCATTAATGAATATGTTTTCCACCATCAGACCCAATCAGTAGCAGTGGTAGTTTCGTTTAAAAATAAAGAATTTTTGCAGCATCATATAGTGAAAATTTGAACACCGATGTTTTCATGAGATGCCATCTGATCGGGGCGTATTGGATTCAGTTGTTCTTCGCTTCAACCGTGTATATTTGTGGGCTTTTATACCTGTCATTTCGCGTCAATTTTTGTGCATGCAGGGAGTGGAGAATTACGTCGGATTGTTCGTCGGGCTCTCGGATCCTCGGGCCGTTTTCTCCGACGCCCTGGACAAAAGTGGGTTCATTCCAACGCTCCTCCGATCGATCAAACGCTCCGCAAAGTTCGCTGATAAGGATCACTTTTTGAGTAAGCCCTATATGCAGCCGAGTTTTTCTTCGTCTTCTACGTGTGCATTTGCCTCTGCTGATTCCCTTTTTCTTCGCCTTCCGCTTATTTTTCTCCTTCTCGACCTTTTTTCTTATACAGTATTCGTATATAGTTTTCTCTGATGGGCCACGCACGTGGTTATTGCGAGGGCTGAGCAGCAATATGAGAGCTTCAGAGGAAATTGCAGCTTTTCATCTTTTTGAATGCAAGGCGAAGGAAATCGTATATAGTTCATGGACCAACACACAAAGTGTCAAAGAATATACCTTGTATTACGAAGTTGCAGACATCAAGCTTTGTTGAAAATATTCTATTGGAAAAATCTTTTGGAAATGCATTGCAAGTTTTTAATTTTCAAAGTTCATCTTGCTGACATAATCAATAATCTACCGCGTTTACTCTTTATTATTTGTAGAGTATACAAATGTACTGCTGATCACATTTTCTCCGAGAAACGGCAACAAAATTCACATGAAGGTATTTATGTACGAATATTATCAGGCTTCAAATCATTTATCACGAGGTCGAATCAACTCAAATAATCGAGCCGATATTTTGTATAATGTGTCCAATTTTAAACTGTAAAATAATTATTTGGAAATTTTCTATGAAGTAATATGTCTTGCGTTATTACATGTATATCCGATGAATTTCGAGTCCGTAACCGGCGCATTGTTTTTCCAAAACATGGTCGATTTTTTTTATTTACACTTCAGAACCTGTTGGTGAAAATTTCCTGGACTAAATTAATATAATTTCTGTTTTTATTTATGCGCAGGTTGCATACTTTTCTTCAAAATAAAAAATTTCAGTTTATGCAGTCTTCTCTCTGAAATGATTGAAAGATGATGTATAGAATGACACTTGTTCTGCATAATCACATATAAAGGAAGTGCACATTTATCTTTTGTCTGAGCTTATAGAATTTCACTAGGATGATTATGAATGAGGCTTATGAAAATTGCTCGAATTGAGATAAACATTTCAATTAAAATTCATTTTAAAACACAGCGTATAGAAATTGGAGATAAGAGCATTAAAGATTTCAACTGAAGAGTGCAAAAAGCAAGGCAACAGGGAATAATGTTTTGGATTCCATTTCAGAAAGTATTCTATCTTTTCGAGCTCGTTCCTAATCAAGACTAGGATTATCTTATGGCACAGCTATTAAACTGAGTGTATAAATTTGTTTTAACATTTTTTGCTGCTGCCTAAAAATTCTTTACACAAGCTTCATTTCATGTGAGAACAAGTGTACAAGGCCGTTAGTTCAAGTGCCATTTTCAGGTTAAAAGCATAAAGTTCTCATATGATCTTGACACAAATTTTGGGACAACACATCCTGCTGAACTACGTGAGAACCCGTTGTATTTTATGAAAGAAGCTGAATACTATATTGCTGTGGATCTTAAATGGGTAAAAAGTCGAAAAATTTTAACGAGTACTGTTTAAAGTAAAAACAGTCGTAAATTGAAACTTGTAAACTTAGCCATGCTTACTCTTAGGAGGGACTGTGATGTAGCTTCCACCAAATTTGCAAGTCGAATCTGGGATATTTTTCCGCCATCCATTCTAATTTCTAATTATGAGATGCATTCTGAAAATGAATTCAATGCTGTAGGCATCAATATTGCCGAAGTTTAACATGACGCAATGAATATTGTTCTCGATTGCAGAAGCCTTCAAAGCTGTCAACCCTTGGCAAAACACCATGCCACAAGATTTGCTTTCCGATTTTGTCACGGACATGTTGAACAAAGAGAAAAATGACCCGGACAGCATCAGTATCAATGAAGATGGAACGGTGACGGTCAGTTACAACCTGATGATCGTTATTGCGAAGCCGAAACCCACAGACCATTAACTTCATCGAAGTTCCGCAACTTCATGTTTTGCAAAATCTCGACGACGTAACTGTAATGATCATCACAGCCATGGCGAAAAAATGAGTTTTCATTAAGAATAATGGAACACTAATTTTCCGATATAATAAATTCGCGACCGCCTCTTTGATGAAGGATTAATGGATTTTGCATCACACTTACGTGTGTGCCGAAATATACATGGATTCTTTATTCGTTTCCTCAGAAGTGTCGCGTCTTACCCAAGGTAAAATCGTGAAGATATTTTTTCATCAACAGTTTACAATTAATTGACTGTTCTTCTGTGTATATGGGATCACCGCAGCAAGGAAAAGCCAGAATGCAAATAAACCTGATGAAGTAATAATGAGAAACATCTTCTGACGTTTATTTCTTCGGATGCCTTCAAAATTATCGATTTTCGATTACCTAAACAGAGTGTCCCCGAAAATCATCGACGAGTGTATATGGTGCATTTCCATTGAAAATATGAATCAAGGCTTAATATATACTGCGTAAATATTATTTTTAGATGAAATGAATAAGACATTTCCCGCCTTTTCAAGTGGTAAGTATCGCAGCAAGAAAAAGCCAGAATGCAAATAACACTGATGAAGTAATAATGAGAAACATAATTTCTGACATTTATTTCTTCGAATGCCTTCAAAATGATCGATTTTCGATTACCTAAACAGTGTCCCCGAAAATCATCGACGAGTGGTGCATTTCCATATTAAAGATAGGAATCAATAATGCTTAATATATATTGCGTAAATGTTATTTTCAGGTGAAATGAATAAGAAATTTCCCGCTTTTCAAGTGGTAAGTATAATACTATATACGTCAATTTAAACAAAAGTTTTCCTGGCTTTCGACAGCTGAGATAGCAAGTGTGGATCAATTTAAAACATTTTTATAGGGAGAGATTTTGAGAAGTGTATGTAAGAAATAAAACAACTGTAATAGACATTGATGGAATATGTAATTATAGGGACATTATACGCGGTGAGCTAATGTGACGTGACCTTCTTTTTTTCAAGTAATATATTGATTGCTGTAGCTGTAAAAATTGAAACAGCGTGTGAAACACCGGCTTTTCTTCTTCTTTTGGACGAGGAACAAAAAAGGAACGAATCATTAAAAAAAGCACAAAAAAATTGTAATCGAATGTCTCCCCCTGCGCATTCATTGGAAATCAAGTGACCCATTTATTTTTTCATCGTTTATGCATAAAAAATAATTGATGATCACATTGATCAGCGATAATGGCGTCAGATCTTTATACTTCGTCGTCGGGAAAAGACTATATATGCACATGTGCTGGCGGCTTATGTACAAAGCCATGCAAACCATCACGCAACCATCAAATGGCACACAATCCCGTTTTAGACGGCAGCAGAGTGCTTTGAAAGTACCAGCAGATAAATCAGAGGGCCGCATTTTCGGGCCGGTTATATTTCGAATTTTCGTAATGAAATATACGTACCGTAAGTGGAAGGAAAGCGCGGGCATGTGTGCGAAAGTACTTTGTACAACAGTTCGGAAGAATCACGGGCATGCACGATGAAGATAGCGTTGCAATCCCGAAGCATTATTTCGCCGGGGTCATTTCTGCGACACGCTTATATACAGTATATTATTGCAAAAACGCAGTATGATGGGGCCCAGGGATCGGAGCCAATTTCACCGCGGATTTAAGCCTAAAATTGAAGGAGAACCCCCGATCAATCACGAATGTTTGGCCGATAAAGGCACTTTTATATATATATATATGAGTCTTCCTTCTTCGCAGGCGAGCCGAGTTCCTTTTTTTGCTTTCATATATTACACCCCGGTGCATATTTTTTTTAATTTTGCTGCTTATATAGGTTGAAATTGAGGCTTGTTCGAAGATCCAGGGAAATTTATTGGGGATCCGAATTAGGGGACAATTACTATATACGCTCGGGTCTCTGGAAATCATGATGGCGATCTTCCGCCTTTTTCGATGGCACGTGTCGTAAATAAAGATGTCACGATTTCCGCGGGTCGGGAAGTGGAATGATGTCACGATACCCCCTTTTTCCTCACTTCGGGTAAAAAGGAACGTGCACATAAATAGGAAATTGTGCTTGCTTACGCGTAATTAAGCACCTCAGTTTCTGCAGTGGGCCATATATTCAACGAGGGTCTCTCCAAAATTTCTTGGAGTTCGCCGTCAACACTTCACATATGATCACCGCGACCATGAGAGACCAAGACTGAAACTTCTCATCACTTATTCATTTATACTTTCGAGCCCTTGCTGTCTATACTTTTTAAATCTCAATACAGGTATAATCAAACACTGATTTTGCGCCAAAAAAAGTTCGACAAAATAATTTCCCTCTGTGAGAGAGAAGTCTCCGTATATGCTCCATATCGATCACTAGTTTTCTTTTCCCATATTATTCAAGAAAATACGCGCGTCAAATGAGTGTACAACTGTACACATACAAAGAAATAAGTAACTTTTTAGTTACTGCTAGCCCGTGCTAGGCAACTAATTTTTTTTCTCGCTGATGAGGAAAAATTAAATCCTTCCACTTTACTTAGCCTCAATGGGGAGTTGACAGAATTGGCACAGGAATGAGAAGGACTGATGACATGAACTTCCACAAGTCCGCCTTGAAATTAATAAGCTGAAATGCCGAACAGCCAACTCACCGGTGTTCTGACACAATCAATGGAAATATCGCAGAATAGCCCGATATTAAATTCAAATAACCAGCAGGAAAGAATTTCTTCTTGAAAGTTTTCGTTTCACAGCACCCTCCTGAAATATATGAATATAGAGGCGAAGACGCTTAAAATAACGTTCCTTTTCTATCACTTATTGCTGGGATAAATCGAATAAGAACCACAATTCATCTTCATAATCAGCTCCTCTTATCCTAACAAGAAACAAAATCTTTCCTAACAACCAAAATGGTGTTACACGACCAAAATTTAATAGCTTTTCTCGCGGAAAAACAAATCTTTCATTGCTGTCACTCGTCTATGCAGATTAAAAAAAAATCCAGCTCTGTAAACTTCTGCTGTGATCACTCGCACATGCTTGAAGGCGATGTCCTTGAATCAGGTAGGTCAGAAATCAAAAGGTTTCTCGCGAGAATCGATTTCTCACTTCGGCTGGACGCTGTTCCTTTTCTGGCCAGCTTCCCGAATGCCTGCTGATAAAGCGGGTTATACACTCAGTCCTGGATGGCCTGGAAAGTACTTTCGGAATTTCAGTGGCCGAAATTGACTCCATGTGCAAAATTCAGCCCTGCATATAAACTTACAAAACAGATCTCGAGCCGTGTTCGCGATCAACTCGATTAAATTTAATATGCTGCGCTACGTATTTAAGAGCCCTTTTCGATGAAATGGTATCCAAAAAAAGCGCTTGGGATTCGGGACACGCAAGAAAAATAAATGAACTTCTCCAAGTCCAATTTATAAGAGTGCTGTGGCTCCTTAGCCATAAAAAAAAGATTACGTAGAATAAGTAGGACCGCTTCGAAACCAAAAATAAGAATAGCGGAGACTATAAAGAAACCTTTTCCTGTTTCGATCGTTGGACAAGAAAGTAAAGAGCTCGTAAATCTTTCCTTTAGAAGCACAGTACTGTGCTTACATAACGTATTCTGCACACAGGATTATATCGCAACCAAAAGAGCAAATACATTTTTGGGAAATCGTATAACAGATGCAATACACTTTCTGTATTTTTGACCACGAAATGTTTGCAGCTGAATAAAAGCAAAAAAGAAATTTTCGCGGCAGCCGAAAGGAGATACAGTAGTTAAACACGTCGGACGATTTGTCCAACAATACAACCAGCACTGAGACTCACAATACATCTGTCTGACGATCACGTGGACATCGAAAGCGAACCGCTTGACATTTGTTCGATCATGACGGACGAAATTCTGGCAGAACCACACTAAAATGGCCAAACAGCGAATTTCAGAGCTACCGAGAAAGAAAATGAGAGCACCAAGACGATCAGTCGTCCATATGCAGGCTCCTATAGCATGCAGAAAGGCACCGCATTCATATCCCATTTTCCTATCATCAGCATCGTCATGTCGCCGAATAAATAGAAAGAAAAGCTGCCTCGCAAAGAAGCGAGGAACAAATAGCTCCCCCATGATGAAAACAGCTCGTAAAAATCTATTCATATGCCATTTTGATTGCCGCTATACTGAGTTTTTCGAAGTGCCAAGCACGAGATCTTGGATCAAGTTACTGAACGGATTAAACATTCCGAGGGAGCCCTCAATGAAAACATTCCATCTTCATTAATAATGAAAGCTCTCAGGAAAGGGTGGCTATTTTTGGAAGTGTATTCGCTCATAAACCGTCATTCGCTCTCACACTTTCCAGAAGAAAGTGCGGAGGAATTCAGCCAGTCGCGAAGACGTTAACAGGTCGGAAATCATATTCATGGACCGTGGGAAAAGACACGCTGACGTCACGTGAGAATGTCTTGATTCTCGACGTCTGTCATTCCACATCACAGCCCATAAACGTGATCACACGAACAACCAATAAAGTTTTGCCCTAAATTCACCCTCAGCAATGGTTAGTAAAAAGCTTCTTTTCTTTTCACTTCGCCAGCAAGCATTTCTACAGCCTCCAAGCAAAAAAGTTCTCTTCTCAGAACTACGAAATGACGAGGCTAGAAATTGTCATCGTTCTCAATAAAACCAACCATACGAACAGAGTTTGTAAAAATTCAACATCTTTGGCTGGGTCTCGTAGGTGAACAACGATCAAAACTGGTATTTCGTCATCAAAGATTCTCTGAAATTGTCCAAAAAAACTCAAGAAGTCAGGAACTTCATGAATCACCGCGCTAGCCAAAGAAGAAAAGGCCCTAAGTTTTCGATTTTGCGAACCACTTAGCTTAGCGAAATAATACAGAAGTTATTTCATGAGCAGAAATTTACCCATTCAGTTTGAACGACTTTAGTAAAATTGAGGAAAGAAAAATCGATTCTATTCCAGATAATGGTCAAATCGAAAAAAAAAAAAAAAAAAAAAAAAACGAAGAAGTGGCTTGGCTCAAGTTAGCGAAGATAACTTTCAATAAATTTAATCGCCATTCTCCACTGGTGAAACCAATTTTGGGAAGAGATCCGAAAAAGAGAATCAGCTTTTGCAGACGCACAAGAACTCTGCCCGAAAAAATCTGATGAATATAATTTTGAATGAAGCAGAAGAAAATTCCAACCTTCGGTGCACAGACACATAGTCTGCATAAATAGAGAAATTCGCCATGAAGTGAGATCCCATCAACAAGACTAGTGGAACGCGGGAAGATCAAAACAACACAAAAAGCGAACTACCACCTTTTTCACGCGCGTCACAAGCCTACGAAAGCAGAATGGAAACACTCAGAAAGCCGAGTCCTATGCTTCCAAAGCGATTTTCTTGGCGCAGCTGTAACCCAGGATCGGATTTCTGTCACGACCGCTTACCATGCCAGGCACCTGCAAAATCACATCAGAATAAACAATTTTAAAGATTCAGAATTACACAGGTTTAACGAGAGCCTCCTCTCAAAATCATAATTTGCCTCAATTCCTCGTACTGCAATAATCAAACGCGTTCAAAAACAACACGTACCTCATGAAGTCACGAATTTCAAACAAAAACGACCAAAACGAAAAAATGACACTTGCATAATACTGTACTGACTTGAAACAATTTTCATGACATTCTCAAACGTGTTCGGAAACTTTTTTTTATATCAAATTAGTAATTCTTGGTGAAAATTTCAATTTCTGGTATTTTGTACTGTACATACATAGTACTGCATAATTTTTTCGCATATACCGTACATGCTGAAGAATAATACACAGCCAGAATCAATAAATCGCCAATAATTATCCTGCACTATTAGAGGTCTTTCGTCTCGCTTTCGTATTTTAAATTATCAAAATATTTCCTTTAAGATGAAATTTCGTGGTTGATTAAATCAAGTTAACCGAACTGCTCTGCCCCAAATATTGAAAAAAAACCCGCTGTTTCGTATTATAAATGTTTCAAGTATTCTTCACAGGTGCTGAGGCTTCGTATTATGTTGTTCTAGGAACTCGCTGTTCTGAGCAGAAGCTGTTCCAGGACGCGTTCCATCGTCACGTTCAATTCGAATCAAAATTGCATCTCAGAATTGTAAAAATATTCATCGCTAAACTACAGAACAGTATAGCGAGCTCATGTCCAACCTTTTCTGATTGGACGATCACAGAGTGCTGGGAACGAAGGAAGTCTTGCGTCTTCCGGATGTCCTCCATGGCAATTCCCCGCGTTGCGTCGTCGATCAATATGGTTCGATACATTTTCTCAACGGAGTGCTTCGCGGTGAATCCTGGATATCCAGCAAAGTTCGCGAAAAACATCCGAAAAAAAAATTTCAAACACGATCACAACACGTTCCTCATTTTGTCTGGTCATTCGACTCGAAGATATTTAGAACTCTCGTGAATTTGACGCTTTTCTTTTATGACAGCCTGTTAGCTTACGATGATGACAAATTCGAAATAGCGTAACAATACACTGACGGAAAAGCTCTTCTTTCCACCAAGAAATGTATTAGTATCACCAAAAATCCCTTTACGGAAGCCATAGGACAAAAGTTCGATGAGCAAAAGTGACTCACCAACACAATAATCGTAAGCAATGCCCGTGCAATATACATCGGTTATGCCACGACTTTGTAACATGTGGTGCAACTCGGTTTCTGAAACCTTGTTGTTATCCCAAAATGCGGAATAAGAGTCGATTTCAGGATTGCTTCCTTTGTACACAAATATAGCCCCTTCCGCAACCTGCGAATAAAAATATAACAAAATTTACATAACTTTTTCCGCATAATAACGTTAGCATAAGAACAAATTACGGTCGTCTTGAAAGTCAGGACCTTACTGATAAAATTAGCGATAATTATCTCATGACTGGATTATTTTCCTCAAGATCCTGCTGAAAAATCGGAATACAGCATTCTCCGCAATCGCTCAAATAAAATTTTTTTAAATCGAGAAGTCAAAATTAATATACTTTCTTAAATCATAGAAGAATCGGAAAAAAATCAAATTTGGAAAAAACTCGTTCAAATTTTAATGTAAGATTTTTCTCAGCAGCTTTAATAAAATGGTTTCATCACGCGGATATTTTCGTGGAAAATATGCGCGTAGTATGTGAGCACTCATGGCTTCCTGTTCTAGGCATTCATGGGGAATTCAGATCATGAGCAATAAGTACCGTGAGGTCTTTGTGTAGCTCTGATCCCCAGGATCCCTGAATACAGTGTACGGGCCACAGCTTTTGTTCCGTTGCCGGAGGTCCAGCGAACACAACCGTGTCCCCAACAGTCGCCGTGTCTCCATCAATCTGCAATCGAGGTCACGAAAATGGATTTACCAAAAACTTGAAACAAAAATCCGACCGCAAACTTACGTCTGCAATAAATAACGAAATTTAGATTACAAAATAAATACGATAGCTTTCTGAATCGAATTGATCTTTCAAAAAGGAAACCTTCGAGCTAAGGAATCATATTTCACAGAAAACATAATGCCGCTGATGAGAAACTCACGTGGATTCAGGGCGTTCCATCAAAGGCTCAGAATGATTTTGAAAATAAGAATGTGCCCAGAGTTTTAAAAAATTTAACAAAAAGCAGAGGGCCCACGCTTTTCATTTTAAAATTAAGAACTGCAGGCTACGACTTCACAAAATGGATTCCTTACAGGAATAATTGGGACAAAGGCTCTCATAATAGAGGGTATCCATAACAGTTTACTTTTCAAGCAATTATCACTTCAATTTAATCCATCTCATATTTAAAAATTTAAAAATATCAAATACCTTCGACGATGGATGCATTTGCCGCATTCGAGCATTTGATGCAAAGGAAATGTGATTTTCGGGATGCCAGTCAAAGCTGTAAACCACAACGTTGAACTTGATCGTGTTCACGAGATGGTTGACGGCCGGCACAACCTAAAAAGAACAAATAAATATTGCACTATGAATCAATCCACACATAGCCTTACTTACTGCATGAAAGATTTCGTCTCGATTCCGAACAGTAAGATTACTCAGCGATTCGATTTCCTTCATAAGACTAGAATGGCTCATCAAAGCTGAGAATTATCCCAATGCTTTACGATTTTGTCAACACCCATGAGAAGTGAAGGCGTAACAGAACAAAAAACCTCGAAAATTTGAACGAAAGTTTTACAAATCTAGAAGACGAAAACATCGAGGGGACATTCAGAAATACTTGAAATGCTTATAGAAATGGTTACTCACATAATATTAACCCGATTACCAAAACAAAAAAGCTTCCACCATTATCTCACACACCAGAGGGACACTTTTTTCGTCTAGATAAAACGCTCGTAAAAAACGTTCCTCATTCCATGGAGCCTTCCCCTTTTTTTCTAAATACACTGTGAACATCCCGGATGCTTCCCTTGTGTGACACGACGTTCAACACTTACCCTCATAAGGTATTCGGTAAACGAGATTTCTTTTCGGTAAAACTTGCGTTTTTACGAGGCAAAGTCCTATACACCAATTTTCCAAACAAAAAAAATCCTTCAAAGCCCAAAAGAATTTTTCCAGAAGAATGGGTTAGGGCGCTTTTGTGTCAGGAAAAGAATAGAAGGAAATCTGATACCAACCTCCTCGCCTCTATGTCCTGCAGGGCAGTGGCAGATGGCCAGTGACCCAGAGATGAAGTCATTTTGCACGTCTATCACAAGAAGGGCAGATCTGGGCCAGCACACTACGGTGATCCACTTCATCCAACAAACCTTAAACTCAGCCGGGTCTATAAAGCCATCCTGTCAAAACGAATCACGAACGGGAGAGCCTTAAATTGTTGACATGAATCTGGTCAACGGCAGAGATTCAATCAACGAAAAAATAATTACAGTATTAATAAAAATCGGTTAAGCTCCAATAAAGTATTCATGGTTTCCACTGAAGAGTTAATCTTCGCATCAAAAATGTTCGTCGATGATATAAAGGGTAACAAATGAAAGCTGGCAACATTTTCATTTCACCGTAAAGTACTTATTACAATGAAGTACAGAAAGTGGATCATACAACGAAATAAGCGTGTGCCTAGCTTCAACGATGCGGCAAATGGGTTCGTGTCGACATAACCAGAGGACAGGTGCTCTTTATCTTCCCCTAGCGCACCCGTGACACAAGGAAAATTACTACCCTCAGCGAACAAACGCATGAAACCAGAGGACCTTCGTTTCCGACGAACAAGGACCCCTCGCCGCAATCACAGTAGACACTTACGCATAACCTCATCGTCATCAAAAAATCCCCGCAACTTTCACCTTATCAGGGCATCAGGGGAACACAAAAAAAGAATAAGAGAAAAACTAAAAACCACAAACCAACCTTGTTCACATCGAACAAACTGAAGATGTCCGCCAATTGTTTTGCTTCCAACGCGTAGAATTCGCCTTCCGCATTTCGGAACAAAGCTCGACATAGCTCAATGAATTCCGTCACGCTCAGGAGTCCATCCCTGGACACAACAAAGTCGATCCGAATGCGAAAGCATTCCCAAAATAGGGTACACAAGGGGAAGGCCAACAGAACAAAAAATAAAACGGAGTCAAATACGTCGTCACGACAGGGGTTCCCACCCCAGAGCGTCGCTTTTATTCACCAGACCTACATAAATACACCCTGGTTTGAAAATCTAGGGCAACAGACATTCTTTCGTGCACTGTATACTGAATACACTTTTTAACGAATATATTTCGACGAGAACTGTCGATATCCACAGTGACTGGGACATAAGACGCACTCGTCTTTTCGCTGCAAAAATTGAATCAAAGCAATCTGGTTGCGTCACACTAGAAGGCATCTTTCATTCAATGGAAACGTAACACGATCATCTGAATGAAAATAGTCCTACGAAATGAAATTCAATTAGAAAATACAGCAGTTACGAACTTATAATTATGTTCAAGGGCACAAAAGTTAGAATCCTAATTTATCTTGAGTTCATCAATATTAAGCTGTTCCCTGGAGAATGATGGCCAAGACTGCTTCCATTATAAAAAAAATAATTTTACGGAAGTGAAGTTTTTCTCATAGATCAGGGCAGAATAATTGTTTTCTTTTCACAGACGAGTAAATCGTGTCTTGGTAATTGATCGAATACGGTAAAGCAAGAACTATTGCGATACAACGGAACACAAGATACAATACAGAAAAATTCTATACCCAAGTCAAAGATGAACTGAAAATAAAACGAAGAATAGCTTTGGAGAGTAACTTACTTGTCCTGGTCGAAAGTCTCAAAGCATTCCTTCTCCCGTAAAACACCGGCTTCTTCGTCACATGACACAACTAAAGCATCAAAATATTCGTGGATGTTCACCATCTCCCCCATCCTGCCGATCCACTTTCGGCTTAGCTTTCCTTCGGCAATATCAAAATCCGAAAGACGAATACGTCTTCGTATTCCTAACAAAAGCCATCAATTCGACAGCATGAACTCTCTTATATCCGATCAACGTCAAAACACAACGAACACAAACAAAATCACGATATCACAGGATTCATAGCGCGCAACGCGAAGGAAAGATATACAAAGGCATTCTCTCGAAATATTGTCTTTAAATACACATTCTAATCATTATCTTTCTGATTAGGATGGCGGCATTGTACAACTAATTTTAAAAACTTGAAGGAGCACAAGTCGCGAGAGTAACTTACCCTGGCTAAGAATTGAGCCGAAAGAGAGCACGTAAGCACTCGACGACGCCGGCGTCGAAACTGAGCCAGAGAGTGGGCATAGCACTGAAGAGAACCTCGGCATTAACCCACTTCTGGCGCATGTCCGTTGAAGCAGGGGAGGAAAAGCGTCTCCACGCTCGGGAACTTCAACGGTATTTTCCATCCCACGACCTGACGTCAGGTCACATTCGACGAGACGAAAAGAGCAGTCCCCAAGTCAGTTCAGAAGTTTCGTTCTGGCTCAGAGAACATCCTTCGTCGGTCCCACAAGCTTCTACATTCGACAATGGATTGAAAGGCTTTCTCCAAGACAATAAATTCACACCATTCCGCCAAAACACTGAACGACGATTTTACACGACTTTCGAAGTAATTAGCCTCACGAACATTCAAATGGAACTACCGACAGCAACTCTACACAATAAAACTAATCAATTTATTCGTCAGCATATTGTATTTCATTACTCCGAACGTACGTCATATTCAGGTCGACGGAAGCCCTGGGAGTATTCAATGGAGCAAATCGAAAATTTTGGCAAGATACCTTCTCTCAAAGAAAGGGTATTTGATTCTGGAATAGCACTGTTCTCAATACAGTAGAATGGTTTAGAAATATTTGCTGATCTTTGCAATTGAAAAGTCTCTGAAATTAATGAATCAAGGCAAATTTCCGAATCACCTAAAAAATTACTGTAATATACGAGATTTTGACTTCATACGACAAAATTTACAAATAGGAAACTCCAAATATAGTGCAAAAATCAGAGGATTTTGATAACGGGAGATCCAAAGTTCATGGATCGTAATGCTGCTATCAAAATAAAAAATATGTATTTAAACTTGTACGAATTTCCAAAGCGTCAAAACTAACGGGAGTTGTTCCTCGACAAAGATCTCGAAAGCCCAACACGGATGCCCGAGCGTTGACTGAATTCCGCAAAAGCGTTGAACGTGGACTTAGCACTGCTGGCTCGCTCTTTGGGACCTGGAATGATATCACTAGCCACAGTAGTTTTTCGTCCTTCACTCGCAACACGTTTCGGACCACCTCGGTTTGCAGAGGTGACCGGAATCCCCTTCGCGGTTGGCATTGGAACCCGTTTCGGAGAATTCATGATCGAAACCTTCGGAGACGAACGCTTGCTACCTTCGTCGTCTTTCGGGGGTTCCCCAGTTGATGCCCGTTTTTTGCTAGACCTCGAAATGGACGGTTCGGGTTCGAGCACCTCATCACCAACCACACGCGTCAGAACAACGCTGCATTCTGCACGAGGTACTTCGGATTCCGCTACAATTGATGAAGGCGTTTCTTCAGGTGAACCTTCCCCTCCTTGAGAAACTGTAAATACAGTATTGATAAAATGGATTCTCATCAGCCTAGAATGTTCGGGACAATGGCGCATCAGAAAACGATCAACTCATTCATCAGGAGCTTTTCGCGTAAACGAAATGGAAGCTAGGAACCTTTTTCAGGATTCATCTCTACCCAGAATATACGCGGAAGGGAATCAGTTTTTAGCTGATGTTAAATATAACTCTTTGCAAGCATCTGTCAAACGAAAAGAGGAATTGTTCGCAATATTTTCAGTGGCAAGAATAACAGGCTTCCCAGTAATTTCATCAGTCTCCGAACTTACGTTCAATAGCACTATCATTAGAACCGGACGAGGGTGTTTCATCACAGATATTCTCGCGCTTTGACGCTTCAAGGGCTTTCTCGAGCTCTTTCTGAAAAATACAAAGTTGATAGAACCATCGACATGGAATACTTCGCCGCATGCAATGGTCCTACTTGGAAAATACGTTCTTCGCGAGACAACCGCTTCGTAGTCTGCCTCTCTATCGGGATACTAGATGGCTCCGATAAACGCGGCGTTTTGATCTTCTTCAAGGGAACTAACTCTCGCGGTGATCCATCGAACTCATCATCTGTGAAAAGTTCGTTCATCAAATAAACGAACAAAATCAGAGAAGAGATTTTGTTCCCACCTGAGTCGAACGCCGAGGAGTGGTTCCTCGATGCCTTCGACCGTTTTTTTCTGGGCTTCACCTCGAAAAAATCATCTGATGAACAAATAGCTGATAATTTCAGAAATATAGGGACTTCACTCCGAGGTCGAACACTCACCATCTTCGTCGCTTACGCAATTGATCCGAGACGCCGACCTAGGAAAAGAGTAAGTTGCGCTGCTTTTTTCATTGAGAGGATTCAAAAAAGTGAGAACTCACCTTTTAACACTTTCACTCATCGCACGATAGGAGTCATCAACCTTCCTTCCTCCGTTTTACGTGATAGATTCACGAGTAACTGCAAGAGGAAACGAAGGGCAGGAGCTCTGAGTCAAATTTAAATCAAAATAAGTTTGCAAATCCAAGGTTTGTTCAGATTTAAACTTGAACTTTTGTTTTATTTCGATTTCATCCAGGCCAATCGGGATCTATCTTCAGAATCCAAGGCATACAAAAGTTATACAATCTTGGTTTGCATCTGAAATTCCTCTTGTCTCGCGACATAATACACTTAAAGAACAGATCACGAGACGGAGTAACACTGAGCGAAGTGAGATTTTTCCGAAGGCCAATTCCACACAAAAATCATAATGCGAAAAGGTATACCGCAAAAAGGGCGCGAATCGAGAATAAGGAACACATCAACACTAAGATGAGCCTTCCACCGCATCGGAACCACGGGCTTCGGGATGATTTCCGGCGTCAGATGGGCCGTTTTCTTCTAGGGAAATAGCAGAACTGACGCCGGGAACTTTCGGAAATGGCATGGAGTAGGAAGCGTCCAATTCTTCATTTAGCTGCTTCAATTTTGCAACAAGTTCTTGGCGCTCCATCAGAAGCTTCCAACCTGCCTCGCGCTCCTTCTTCGAGAGTCCAACACACTTCTTGAGCTTCGATTGCTGTATTTTTTGTAAAGCTTCCATCGCCTAAATCACAAATCAAAACCAACGCAGAAGATGATGAAATACATTTGTCCTGCGTTCAACATGCATAATTAAAGTATGGTACTTCACTGTTACATGCCTTTCCCGTCAAACACCTGAAAGTGTTTCTGGGATGTCAGACAGAACAGAACACATTTTCTAAAGCCTACAATTGAGGAGCAAAACTTACATTGTTGTCGATGACATCCAAGCGCTCAAATATTTCGTGTTTCTTGAGATGAACTTCGGCTTGCTTGAGCAAATAGGTCAATATTTCTTTGTTCGTTTTCGTGACCATTTCCAATTTTCGAGCGGTCATCTTCCAATCAGTCAAGAGCTCGTCATCGGCATTATTCTTGAGTGAAAAATAAACAATTCATATTTTCTACTGCAATAAACATACCCTGCTTGAAAAAAAAAAAACCTCACATTTTCGTCGTCCGGCTCCAAAATTCCGTTCTCTTCTAGTTCCGCTTGTAATCGTCGCTCTACATCTTCTGCTCCTGTCACATCCAGGGATGCCATGAAGTGTTTCCTATCAGCCACTACAGATGAAAAAAAAAACATTACAGTACTTGAAAAAAATGTCACAATACAATACCACACAAAACCAACGAAATACAAGGACAAGCAAAATCAATGCACGAAAGGAAACAAATTGAATTTTACGCCATTTGTATATGAAGGGAAATCTCACCACCGCTAGATGACGAGCACTCATTCCGCTTCGTACTCGCACCCGGGGTCAAAGCACCCAGAAGACGCTGCGTTTGTGGTCCCATTGGAGATGCTAATCTGGAACAAATATAAGACAAGCATATTAAAGAATATTTCGCTTAGATTGTTCGAACAAAGGCGCACTTTCGAACATCCTGGATACGCTTCTTAGGAATTCCGATGGAGTTCAAGTATTTATCTGTGGTATCAGTGAATCGATCGCCTTGACACCGTTTTCCCAATTTCGGAGGAATTTTCAACAATCTTTCCGATTCCTCCGTCCCTTTGATCAAGTTTTCCAAATACTGGCAACGAAAAATACCGTACAGTGAATTAAAAGGCATACGTACAAATGCAGGCACTACTCACTGTCACGTGCTCTTGCGTGATCGGAGCGCAATAGGGTTCGACAGATTTCCAAAACTTATTTGGAATCGCAAATTTGCCTATCATATGCGGTGACAAGGGGCTTTCTTCGTGTTGAACATGATGCTCGAAAGGATCCGCATCGTTCATATAATCGACAGGCAGCTTTAGAATGATGTGCAGTATTAAAACAAGCACGGCTAAAATTAAAATACTATAAAAAGCTTACGCTTGCTTGTGCGTTGTTGAAAGCCCCAGAAAAATCAGAGTTGATATTTTCTTCTTTTATCTTCTTCGGTGGTTTCATTTCGTCGTACATCGGATGGCGTTTCATTGTCGATGTCGACTGATCCGAATACTGCCGAAATAAGAAGTTCGATGGAACGGAATTTCAATCTAAAATTAGTGCGGATTGATGTGATTCATGCTCATCGGAGTAGGATTGTCTACTCCAATTAAATGATCATAGATTGCACACTGATTTTTAGCAGTCATGCGATAGGAAATGTTCGAGGGAAAAATGTTTAAAATACAGATTTTACATAAAAATGGCATTTGTTAATGAAAACATCATGGCAATACAATTGGTTCACAGACTGCAAGGCAAATAAACATTCAATACTGATACAAATCGGAGAATTTCGTTAAAACGAAGTCGTTTTTCAGGCCCCTGCCCCATAGCCACAGAGTCAAATGAGTCACTTGAAACACTAAATTTCTTATTACAACGAAGCTATTTTACTCGTTGCAATAGCATTTGCTGTAAGCAGGTTTTACTGTACATTACTAAAATAAGAAAAATTGGAAAATCTTCTGCACTTTTCTTGGCAGGAATTTTGTCGTCTTCAACTTCTCTTGATATGATGTATTTCTGCCCACATGCTATCGAGTGTAGAAAACACATGTGATTTTTCATTACATTAGTTGCGTGAAAAACGCACATTCAATTTTCTCGAGAAGAATCCTGCACGTTCGACACCTTAGTCAGTTGAATTTCCCGTTAAAGCCATCAAGCTATCATTATATGAGATTAAAAAGAACGGATATTGGAGAAAAAGAAAGATCCTCAACAGCCTGATCACGAGATTTCGGATGACCTGTCGGGGCAAATTCTGACCTTTTTGAACTTGGGAGTGTTGCATGCGGGTGCGCCGTCTTTCAACGCTTTCAGCTCACATTCTACGATCGCTTGCCGCATTACCACCTGACACAAGGCGGACTCCAAATCTGCCTGAAGGGCGTCCAGCTCCTCCATCACCACTGGATTTTTCTCATCTCTTGAAAGGACTACAAAAAGATCATCGCATTTCGTTTCGTCACTTCAAAATATTCAGCGTTCATCGATTTTCACATGGCATCTGAATTTTACTTACGTCCATTTAAAGTCTTCAGATGAGTTTCCGCATCAACTCGAGGTAAATCCGGGAACCACTGCAAATTGCCTTCAGGGCTGGCAGGATCGTCTATCTCCATGGCGCTTGGGGAAGCTACAGGGACGTTATTACTCACGCTAACACTCGCATCTTTCGCTTGATGCTTCACAACATCTTTTTTCTTTTTCATGCTGACGCGGCAATGTAAACACAGCAAATCTGAAATCATTACCACATACGAATTTTCGACATGAACATGCAGAACGGATGTATGAATGCCGGCATGAATAGCGAAAGAAACTTTTCCGCTGAATTGTACCTAGGAATACAAGACTGCCGTTCGGCTGAACACCACGGTTTCGGAATGCTCGCTCGATCGTTGAGCACAGTTTTCATCACTTAATTTCAAAAATCAAGTTTCCCGACAGGAGCAACGCAACCCGAAGCTGTAAGCACGACTTTCGAATTTTCTTTATAAACACGGCTGACATTCTCCGAAAGATCCGGTGGCAAGTGGAAGCACTAAAAAATAAATTACAATTTTGTCGTTATAAGTTATGCTATTTGAAAAGACAATGATTTAAAGCCGTTACTCACTTCAACAGTAAACTTCTTCCGTCTACTTTTGTAAGCGAGATCTGTCGAGGGAGGGACGAAAGTTGCAAGCGCATTGACACTTGGCAGCTTCAAAATTCGAAACATCCCATGATAACTTTTAAACGCAGGCAAGTGCTCTTCCTCTCTTCCAGCAAACGAGTTCAACTTCAATACGCAATCAGCAATTTGGCAGATCTGGTCCCGACGCTGTGGCTTCTGCAAATCAATTCTTTCTTTAGAAATTATATTCGCAATGCATAAACGACTTGTAATTCACCTGATGAGAATACGGATGAAGACTGATGACTGCAGCAGCATAATGCCGACGTAAACGAGACTTCAAGGCCCACAGAAATTTGCACATTTCCGTGTCTTGCCAATCCCACATCGGTGAACCAAAAGATTTTATGCAAACCCGCAAGATATTCGAATTCACATCCTTATTTTTCAAGCTCAAGTCCTCATTGACGAACTCCTGGTCGATGTGATTCAGCAAAGCTTCCCACTCACATTCTTGAAATTCAAAAGGTGTAATTAAAATTTGTCTCGAAAACGTGGCCTGAGTAGGAGATTAGGAACGGTCTCGAAAATTTTAAGTAGCAGTCACGAGATACTCAGAAAACATTACTGCGTTAAGATCACGTGACTCGGTATAAAAATCGCATCCAAATGCCTCACCCATTTCTGCACAACCACTCCACGTGGTAATAGTTTCTTTCAAAGTATCTATTTCTGGCCCAACGGGGAGGCTCAAGTCAAAGTCATGTCCTCCACGCTGTTGAGATCTCTGCCGCATCTGATCGAATTGGGGAGTGATGTTCTCGTACCTCCAAGCGATCCGCATCGACGACGGATCTCCCCCATGCTGAATCTCTTCCGTCACTTGATCCAAATTTACCGGTCTGGGCAACATCGTGAGCTGAACGACGGATTTTAATTCAAGCAAAACCACGTCATTATTCATTGAAGAGACAAGAATACCGTTTTCATTGGATCATCGTCCTTGCAGGCGAGCATAAGTCTATGTTCGTGTATGAGGCCTTCAGCCAAGAAATACCGCAGCATCACATCGCTATGAGCTCCAAGGATATCTTCCTCTAAAACGACACGCATCAAACAGAATATAACAAATCAATGAACATTTGAAATCTTTAAAATAAATACCAACCAATAATGGTAAGTGAGCCAACTGGGAAACCTCCTCCTGAAAAACAAACGATGAGGAGACATGAAAACTCAATGCAAGGTTGATCAGGGAATTTCAATAGAGCCGCATGAAATCGACTTACCAATAATGGTATCTAGACTGACTATCCCCGTTGAAACAACCAACTGGTTACTCGGCGACGCTGCCTTCACTCCTGGAATTTTTGGAACATATAAACTCCGTTTAAACTCATGCACTCTTTCAACCATAGTTCACCAGCCTGTCTCCTGCAAAATAAACGCAAAAAATGTGAATACACAGGCTCTTCAAGATTCAGCCTTCGAAAATTCTCATGCTTTGTCATTCTAAAAGAAGAAAAAAAAACTTCTGCCGGCTGATCCTTGGATGAAGTTAAAGATCAGATATGCATTCAATCAATGGGAAATCCGTGAGCAAAAGATGTTATTCCTTGATATCTCATTCACAATCAGTGAGTCTGACCGGGCGAGGACATAAACAAACCGAACTGCGAAAAAAATGCAGGCATCAAGAAGCAAAAAAAAATCCTGAATACAACACGAATGTGAAAGAACTAAAACGTGGTCGTACCAAAATATATCTCATGGCACTTCCTAGCCTGCGATTCACCGTGAGGCGATTGGTAAACTTTTTCGTTCCAAACATAAGCTGTCTTGCTTTCCTTAACCAAAACACAGATGAACGGGAACTCAGTATTGCCCAAAAATCAAATCAAAATAACACAACACATTGCGTTTCTTCACCACAATAAAATAAATACAAAAGATATTCACAATAATCCGAAAATGCTTCGCTGTGCTCTATTGAAAATATTCCTTTCTCTCAAACTCTTCGAAGAGTTGATTTAACCTCTCTTGATATGAATTTAGTGCCGAATAAACTCACCCAGAGTCGGAAGTGCGCCCAAGCTCGACAGAAAAATTGCTCAGATCTCATCATCAGATAAACGGCGATACGAAAGTTGAAAAAGGACCTGACAATTTCGGTGAAAAGACTCATTCCTTTAAATGCATTGCATCACATCCAGCAGTGAAAAGCTAGAACCTATTCCTCTCATCAATGAATGTTCAAAAATTAATCAGTTCGTTAAATCCGACAGAAATTTACAAAACGCACCAAACATTAGGACTAGTGTTGAATTTACGTTTTTGTTCGGCTACCTTCGAACAGACGCACGAGAATTTCAGGCTTCGATTCACTCCAGTTAGCCAATCACGACATCTTACAGCACCCAAACATATATTCTTCACAAAAACTCACAGGTTTTTTTTAGAAGTAGTACGGCATGGTGATTTCGAAGATAAAAAGGTTGAAAATTAGCCCCTAATGCACAGCATGGGGCAGATTGCGGGTTTTGATTCAAATAGCTTTGTTACCCAGGTACTAAAGCTGAAGTACAATTATGCGACTGGCAAGACTTTTCCGACCTCCATTTTTAGCCTCAGCGTCGTCCAGGAGGCAGAATTAGAAAAAAAAAAAAAACTGCACGGAGTGTTCGAGTAGATGCACGATTTCGTAATTCGCTTGTGCCGATGACACAGGTGGGTCATTCGTAGTGCATCGCAAGGATCTACGTCTCCGGAACGGACGCATTCGTCTTACACGCGTTGAAGAGCTTTTCCTTCCGCTGTTGCACCAGGCCGTCGCAGCGCCAAGTAATCGGATTCCCCATGCCACAGAAGTCGTACTTCGCTTCACGACGACTTTCCCATGTACCGCCAGCAGCCTTTTCCGCTGAGTTCTTCAACTGAGTGGTTCTCTTTTCCACCAGATTAAGGCTTGGACTTCCGTTAAGAAATTCGTCATATCCAGAATCTGCTGAAGTTTCAAGCTGACTGAAATCCAAAGTGTACGACTTGGGAACACCTTTGCCTCTGTTTCCATGACGGCAGACGCGATTCTCTTCGTTGTTCCACGGGCTTGCTGATTGGCTTGCCTCAAGATCGGCAAGATACCTAAAGAAAATCGCCAAACCTTGAATCGTGGAAGTCCTGAACCAATACAATGTCTGTGCACGGAAACACAGTGGTGAAACACAGTAATTGAAAATCGATCATTTTCGCCACTGCGACTCGGTTGACAACTGAGACTGGAAGCGATCATAAGCCAAACACCTAATCCAATTCAGGGCGATTAAAATCCTAAGCGTTCAAGCATAGACCTTATTTTCAATTCCGAGCGACTGATTGACGAAGATCTCTAGCATAAGTCACACCAGCATTCGGCTCAAAATCGATTCAATACAGTACACGCGGTCTTCATTTAAATACTCGTCAGATTAGGTAGGACTAAATTTCGTGGAAATGAGTTCACAGCTTCGAAACGTTCTACAGGAAGATGAGGCAGCCTTTTTCAATGCAATAAACATTTCTGAGTCGCGCATCTCGTGAGTTTTTTCAATGTTTTCTAACCTTTTCCGAGCTTCTTGTGCAGATTCTCTAACAGTCGGGCTGGTTTGCTCCGTCGGCGACTCTACCGGCTTACAATCATCGACATCATCCAAAGCGCAGCCATTGAACTCAGCAGGCTTGTCATCAACCAGGGCGACAGAAGCCAGCTCCGGTTTCGATTCGAAGGACAGAGCGGCACTGTTGACGCAGTATCGCTTACCCGTCGGTTGCGGGCCATCATCAAAAACGTGTCCCAAATGTGCATGACATGCGGTACACGTTACTTCGGTTCGAATGATTCCTGATGGATTTTTTAAGAGCAGCAGCAAGTTGGCTCCAACTTCATCAATGAAGGTTAAAGCATCGTGAATGAATGACAGACGACATGCAAGGAGTTCACCAATTAAGGATTGATGCAATCCCGCGTCATGAGGCCAACAAGACACGATTGGACAGGATACCGAAGAGAGCATGAAATAGATTAAACATGAAGGCATGATCATTAGAACCCCTTTTTGGAAAAATCCTGTACCAAATTAGCTTTCTGGCGCTCCCAACACCGACTTCCGGCTACAATCTGTTAAATTCTACAAGAAATGTACCTCCAGAAGTGTCCTTTCTCAAGCGGACTGCTTTTTCGTCCATCACGTTCGAAAATGCAGGCCATCCTGAACCGGAGTCGTATTTGTGCGTGGATGAAAATAAATTCTTTCCGCAGCATATGCAGCTGTATATCCCAGGATCTTTCGACTTGTAAAACGGACCCGTGAATGCTCTAGAACGAATGTATGCAATAAAAATGTGAGGAAAGGGGAACACTGGGCAGAGAATCATTTTCCCGTCAGAGTTCACGAACCTCTCGGTGCCCTTATCCTGAGTGACCTTGTACTGGATCGCAGTTAAGCGTTTCTTTAAGTCGGCTTTTGGTATCACAACTGACGGCTCATCTGGTTTCTTCTTCGATTTCAACATTGTTCTACGCTTCCAGATTTCAAGCACAGTAACTGAGAAAAGTTCACTGTCTGTGTAACGCTCATCCACCACGGATCTGCGAAAACATAAAAGGCACGAATAACAACATGCATCACCAACAGGATGATCCACCTTCGCCCGTAATTAATCCGCGTAAGTCTCCGGCGCCTTTCCCGGACTGGATTAGAGCGTGTCAAAACAACTTTCTCACCAGAGATCCCGATTCAACTGCTGAGAGCGATGTCGCAACAACCTCTCCAACCGAACATCAGTACAATATTTTACATGCTTTCAGCACCCTCTCTGAGACAATATTGCAACTTCCGAAACTCATCCATGTGTTACATTGTTACATGTTCACTCCAGCAACAGTCCAGTGCTTAGTTTGCTTTATATATCTTTGATAAATGTCTTTCGTCTAAACTTCATCCAATAATTTCCATCAGTACAGCAGTTTTTTGAAAACTCATTATTAAAGTCCGCATCTTCCGAATCAGAAAAAAATTTTGGAGTTCTTATATAAATATAAATGCTAATGATTCTAAGGCCTTTTTTACGTCACTCGAAATCAATTTGAATTCGGCGCTATTTATAATGTGTCATATAGTATAATAGGTTGAACCCATATATTATTTTAATATTATAAAATGGGTCCTAAGATTCGAAAAATAAACGGTCACCTGATATTACCGTATATATGGCCCAAAGTGTACAGAATTACAGAAAATCACAATGTGAAGTTTCAAGCCAGCACTTATACACTAACATTATATGTATTTATATACAGTATCCCTCAAATAACGTGTTATACGTCCCCATACATGGATACGCAATAACTTCTGGCTTCTGCAATAACTTCGCATTAAATAAAATTGCATGCTGTACATGGACCTTTTATTCAGCGTGTTCATATTATAGTACAGTGCGGTATCTATATATAGAAACAAAATCCAACTCTGAGACAAATGTTGCCTTTCAATTTGAAGCAGAGAAGCACAAACATATTTTTTTCGATTTAACCTTATCAAACGTGAGACTGAACTTCGTGCAGTCTCACAACTCTTATACTGTATATGCCAATGCAGACAGGTTTTAAAGATATCGCCAACAGGGAAGAGTCATTCCATTCTCAAAACTTGGATTATACAGTTCAAAATACTGTATTTAAATATTCTCATAATATAAATTACCAATGCTGCGTTTTATTCAAACAATATATCATTTTTGCATGCATGACTTATTCTGCATGCACTGACATGCTGCTGTTTATAGACTGTTGACTATAATAGGACCAAATTTACAAAATTTGAATAACGTTTGAAAATTTTGAAACTTGGTTGTATTCAAAAGTGTTAATTGGAAATTTTATTTGTAGTGCATCAAAGTTTGATTGAAAGATTTTTCAGGTGCTGATGAACATTTTGATGTAATATAATTTTGGAAATGTTTTCACTGAAAAACGTAGTCATATAGTGTAATTCACTCAGTTTAACGATGTTTCGTTTTTGTTGTAAAAAAATTATTAACAGAGTAAGATTATGGATGACGTTTTACGAGGTATTTCAAGCATTATTGCTGTTCATTATTGCCATGTCCACGTGTGGAAGTCATTCTGGATTTTAATTTCAATACCTGTAAATCTGATGCCTTATGTTCCTGCCTGAACTTCTATTATTGTTTCTCCCACGATAATACTTGATTCATTCTTGTGTGATGATTATTGTTCCATTTGTCCCTCCAATCAGCGCGCGCAAATCAAAAGGTATACTTGATGGTCGTGGCAATAACTCATCGTGCGTATCTGCATGAAGAACAGCACACGGGAATGAATCAGCTCAGATCAATAATACGATCTGCAATCTGTAAGATGTTCTCATTCTATATGACATGGGTACCTACCGTATATAGCGAACACATGTAAAATGATGAAAAAGTCCTCCCGCAGTTTTCGATTAAAAAACTACAATGTAATTGTTCATAATTGTACATACAGAGTTGCAGACATGCACACTACGTATACTGTATGCAGTACTTGATTTATATAATATACTGTATTTGTTCAGTACAGTACATTAAACGTACTATTCCTGAGGCGCACAGCAGTATTATAGGCATATATTTTATACTCGCCGAATTAATTTATTATATTTTGGTTCGTGTTTTTTTTCAGGGCGTGATGAGCAGTTAAGTCACGGCATTATACTGTTGGATACTATATATATATGCGCGTATATTCGACGGATGAGGAATAAGGACGATAAGCACGTTCCTGAATGATCATGGTATTCATGGACTTGATGGGTGTTGGGTTCGTTGCTAATGTACGTATGTACGAATGTGATCTGCACAATAACTCATTTGCGCATATACTTATTCGTCAGCGATCTCCAGTTATCTGTGTCGAACTGCTGGTTCTTTTGCATCAGTGAGAAGGGCATAGAGATAGAAAGAGATAGAAAGAAATGAATATTTTGAGCAAGTAGTCGCCGTGCTGAAGGTTAATTACAAAAAATCTTGGATTAATGGTCACCATCAGTTTCAAACGCTATTGTTGTAGTTATGTATTGTGGTAGTTTTTCTCAGAATTTTTATTTTTTTCGAACATCGGTTATTCCAAACCAAGTGGGGGATTTTCTGTTTCAATTGGCAAAAAATGAAGAACTGCTTGTTTAAAATAGAAATCGCGGAGAACCTCCGCGATGGTGATTCTTTTTATGAACTTGCATGATTATATATCCTAGCCAGAATAAGTTTGTCGTACAAAAATCTCGAAAAATTATTAAAAAGTGTATATAATAACAGCTAATTGGTTCCATTCATACCTCTTCAAAACTCATTATTGCCCAGCTGATTATATAGAAGGAAGCAGAATTGAATGACTAATTTAGCTTATACACCGTATTCTAAAATTAAATACTAAATGCAGGCAAATTCTTTCGAGCTGCCATACAAGAATATATACTTCATAAGTTGAGAGCTAATCTACTGGAAAAGAAAAAGGAACCGATTTTCACGGGAATTGCTTGACACACATTTTTCTCACCACCTTTCTTTTCATTTGTTGGATATCGATTTTTCACCACGATTCCAAGACTAATAAAGATGCTTTTTTGAAAGAGCATCGTTGTGTTCGCGCATTATCTATATTTTAATGATTCTAAAACACATATAGACGAAAAGCCGAATACCTTATGCAGAGAAACATTTTTACATTTAGATTTTGCTTCAATTGGATTTTATTATTCAAAAAAACTTGAATACCAAGAAACAATTCAGTGATTCTGGTAACTTTCTTGTTTTGAGTTTATTATCCTGCAAAATACTTGACAACTTGTTTCGAGTTCCTCTCCGGCCATACATTTTGTCCAATGGATTTTCCCTCACGTTGAAAGGACCGTTTTTTATGTTTGTAAAAAATTTTATCAGCATGATCAAGCAACTATACAAAACAAGTACTCGTTTTCTTTAGCCCAGTTTCTGCTGCTGTCTCGTCTGAATTATTCCTACTTGTGCAGCATAATTTTAGGTTCTTTTTAATTTTTATTGGATAAAATTCAGCAACGCTTCAACAATTTCCAAATTAGAAGAAAATCTTGTCTTCGGCGTTTTTTATTGAAATTCTCAACCATGTATAGTGTGACATTCCATATCCCGAAACTATACAGGCAAATGATTTAAATGCAATTTTCTTTGAGTTACACAAACCATAAGCTACTGAAGAAGCACAGCAGTTTCGAACTTGAAGCAGCACATGCAGGAGCTCAGTCATAAAATTGTGTTGCAATGATCATAACAATCACTTGATTCATGACTCAGTTTGAATGCTCGAATGCTTCCTAAATTATGTTGATAACGCTCAGCATGCTACTTTCTCGTGTGAAGGTTTGTCAAAATAACGATTGATTGTAGTACATCATCACTTTACCGATCCAGTCAAAACTCTCCCCTGTATGTATCAGGACGATTTTGAAACGTTCATAGTGTTACATCTGTTTAGACTGCTGAAGTCAAATTATAGTATTAATGCGGAAATAACCGCAATAGTTCGCTGTTTCATCATTCTTCCTGCAAAATGAATTAAATTAGAGCACGTGTTTGATGGTTTCATTGGTTTTTTTTATTATTTATATAAGAATATAGGGAAAATTAGAAAATTTAAAAACGTGGCCAAGGAAAACAAAAATGTCGTTGAAAAGGTAAATAGGGAAATTTTCCCCGAGACTCTCAATTTAGTATTATGAAAAAAAAATAACGTGGCCCACGAGGTTCTTGATCAGTGTTCTTCTGTGGAGTGCCTTCGAGGTTTCATAATCTAATGTAGAAGGTCCAAGCACTGACAGTCGAAAACCCCAAGACTTGAGACGAAAACAAAAATGCTGAACGGACGCAGAATATAAATTCGCTTTTGCTTATGAAAATGAAAAATTTAGTTGCTGTAGAAGTGTAGAGACTCAGAAAGTAAGGTCCAGCACAAAAGCAAGCCAGGAATATCTCGTCATCGGCTGTACACTCGCTGCTGGAAAATAGTTTGTCAAATAGACTTCGCGGTTTAAATCAATTTAAAAAAAAAGGCTCGGCAAGAAGTACAAAAGATCATATTTTCGGGGAACCTCTACTCTATGAACGCAAACTTCGATCGCTTTAAAAAATGGTAATCTCGAGATGAACATGAGGAACTCTTTCAAATCATCGCGGCATCATGCGTTCATTATTCCGTCGTGCGGATAAAAATCCTTCATCCAAGTTTCCACGGCGATGAGTTCGATTCCTAGCTACATCAGTGCTGCATGCGAACAGCAAATATATTAAAAGCAGGTGTGACTAAAAAAAAAATAGAAGAAGACAAAACTTTTATTTCATCACTTCGATCCCGCGTCGCTGCTCTTCTCTCTCTGCTGATCACTTCTCCGCGGATCAGATGTGCAAGCATGCTCCAAGCAGCATCGAAATCCCACGCTGATCGAGGAATGCTATGGCATCAGAATAAAAGGGAACAGAGCTCTCACTTCAGTATATATATAAAACATATATCCTTCGTCTTTTCAAACCCATCCCCCTCCACACTCTTCACAGCAGTCGCTCCCTCTCCACACGTGTCGTCATCATCGTCGTCATCGTCGGTCCTCCTCCTCCTCCCTCCTCGGCTCTCGACAGTAAAATCGCGCGTGGGACTAAACTCTGCTGCTGCTGGTTTGTGCCGTATGATGATGACGGCGACTCTCTTTTCTCCCTCTCCCTGTTTCTCCCCCGCCTTCGTCGAAGTCGTCGGATCCGCGCGCAGCCGGAAACACGCGGTGCCTTATGTGTACAGAATTTGCGATAAAGTGAGTGGACTTTCTGCCGACAAAATAGGCGTTCTCTCTCTCACTCATCGTCTCTTTTTTTTTTTCTGTGGCGAATTGTGCGAATGCGAAAAACGTGAGTTATTGGTGGCTGCTGCTGCGGCGAAGTCCGTGTTATTAGAGTGATTGGTGCATACGCGGTAGAATCTTGTTACAACGAAGCGTGTCTCCTACGCCTTGGAAAAAAGCTTCGTTATGAACAAAAATCCGTTGAAAAATTTTTGTATTAAAACTGGGACCGTATAAAAACGTAATCGTTGAAAGCATTGATTCGATCGCAATGACGAAATTCGTTGTAACGATGAGATTCTGCTGAATTATAACGAAGAAGTAGTTGGATTGCGATTGCGCGTGATATAGAAGCAGTATGTGCTTTTATATATATACAGTGAATTCTTCTTACAACGAAAGCGCGGTGTTTCATTGGATAGAGCTGCTGCTGAGAAAGACACAGAGCCTCGTTTCCCAGCAAATTGAATTCTTGTGCTGCCCATTAGGTATGTATAAATGATCAATCTACTGAACTGTCGAGCAGCATTGAATCCCAATAAGATAGGATTCTGAACTTGGGAATTTTTTTTTCAAGTTTCAAAAAATTCCTGAACGAAGTTTGTGAACAAAGAAGGTTATTCATCTGGAAAAATGCATCGGAAACGGAATTCCAGTGATGGCGGCCTCTTATATTACGGAACAGTTTCTCTCTCTCCCCTCCCCCCAATTCAAAATGTATCATGATGAGTGAAAGCTGTATACTGGGCTTTGTATCAGTATGATGGTTACTCCTTGAAGCATGTCGTGAAACTGTGAAGCGCAGTATGTTGAAAGACCTAATGACGAAAATGTTATCTCAGACACGAAAATATGAAGTATTTTCATATAAAACGTGGAAATTATCATGTTGGGAAAGGTAATCCAAAAATTGAAAATAATATCCGGAGAACTTCCGATATATCCGAGCATGCCCAGGAATAAAACATATTTTATTTTAATCCACAACAGGAAATATTCCCAAGTTCTTTTAAAAGCGTGAACGCAACTTTGATCAAAGATTGAAAAAGGATAAATGAAAGGAAAATATGGGGGAAATACAATGCGTGCTCAAATATGCTGTGTACCTTGTTGTCAAAAAATATAATAAAAAATTTAAATCTAAATCAATAAAATACTGAGAAGTCAAATAATATTTTTAAAATCAGAAGTGTATAACAGTAAGTGCTAGAAAATATAACAAATGAAAGTAAAATGGTTTGTTCTTCTCGGCAATTCTGCACGTCATGAAACAACTCTTCAAGCAAATCAAGATTCTCGTAGACAGATTTTTCTTTCAGTACTGAGGGCATATGAGTACAGCATGTGCTGTGTCATCAAGTGAAAAATGACTGCGGTTATATAATACAGTAGCAATAAAGTGAGTGGAATAAAGCTCTCAACTTCCGAAAGGATTTTAAGTTCCTATATCCTTCAAGGCTAAGGTTACCTGAATTTTGACAACTTATCACTTCGGAATAATCTCTGTTTAGATTTCTCAGGGTTGAAGTTCGTGCTGTCTTATGACATTTGGTTATACAGTATGATAATAATTACGACATTTTAAAATTTATTCTTGCGAATCTTTTTCCCGAATACATCTTCTTGTTTAGTGGCGAATGGCACGTAATTGTGTTTTCTGCGCAAGGAAATAATATTTTTTACGACACAAAAAGAGAATCTCTGAAATCGAAAATATTTGGAAACGCAAGTTCTAGCGTTGAATTCAATCGAACCATCCGGAAATATGTGTTTCATACTGTCGTTAAAGGACAGAAGAAGGAGATAGCTCGTGTGTTTTGAGAAAAAAAAATCAGGATAAATTCACTTGATACTTATAAACTCGTTTAAAAAAACTAAAATTCGAAAGAGCGATTCTTTTTCGGGGTTAAACTTTCAGACCGAAGCCTGTTTGATTTTATTTCGAGAATGATGTCAGCAAACACACACAAACGCATTAGCGAAAGAGAAATTCACGTGCTCCTTAATGACTATCTAAATATTCTAAAATATACGTTAGGATCGAAATTATGCAAACAAAAAATACAAGTTCGTGACATCGGTTTTCCTATTTATATGGTTTGCATTGCATGCGAGTTTCATATGGATCAAACTTCCACACGTATGGAAGTCGTGCGTAAAACATTCATCGGCGTACAGTACAGTGCATGGTATTGTGCTAAAAATATAGCATTCTAAAATATGCTGTATTTTTGATGTGACTCGTCAGTAAACAGAAGTGTAGTTCTCTTATTGGTTTCAGTCGGAATTCCGGCTGATGATGTTTACCATGAAACCCTGCTTCTATACTGGGTTCGTGGAAACCTTTGAAATGTCCCATTGGAGCGATTAACTGACCAAAAAGCTTACAGGAAACCGGTCAAATAGCACATACTCACGAAGTGCTAGAATCCACATGACAGAAAATCGCGTATAGTTCTGATTGCCGTTCTCCAGAGTGCCGAATTCCAAAACAGCTTGAATGAATTTGCTTGCGAAAGTGATGGGAAAATGTCTCGAAGGATTATCGTCACAAAGAATCTTTATATTATTGATCATTGTTGGGGATGATTCTTTATTTTTAGTTCCCTGCAGTGTAGACGCTAGATCAGGGTTCGTGGTCCGCGGACCGGTGCTGGTCCGCAGAAGTTATTTGCCGGTCCGCGGACAATTTTTTAGCATAATAAATTCATCAAAAGTACGGCTTAAGTCTGTTGTGTTTACCTGAAATTTCAGAAGAACAATGATAGTTGAAATTATTTCATGGGAAGAAAAGTTGCCTTTTCTCCTATATAACAACACTCCAGAAAATTTTTTCACCAGCTGAAATAAATTATTTTACTTTTTCATCCTTAGAAACCTTTTTTGAAGCCCACTTTTCAAAGTTTTTGGTGACATTCAGTTATAGCTGCTTCATTCGTACCTGACTCAAGTTTTGCAAAAAAGCAGAAAATTTTAAATACTGTACATTCCATAAAACCTTCCAAGTAAAATTGTTGAGAGTCTGCAAAAATTCTATGAAACCTTGCATGACCACAAAATTTTTTTCGGGAATGTGCCGGTTATGCAAAATTTTTAAATGGAAATTTACCAGTCCGCGGGCCAAAAAAAGGCTGGGTAACACTGCGCTAGGTTACTTGAGTGTCATTACTACGAATTTTTCGTCGTAAGGATTTTCCTTATTGCGCGTATGTATGACGTAGTTCTCAAAAGATTTTACCATTTTTTCTCGTTTCATCAGGAAGAATAATGGAGTTACGATGCTGGCGCGGAAAATGTTTCGACATAGATCAGCTGACACCGAAAATTCTGTTATCTTGTTTAAAGAGGGAGACTCGACGAAAAAATAAGTGGATGAATGCTCTTATTCCGTTGACAACGCTGGGACTTTTTATCGCTGCGTTCCGGAACTCGTAGCGAATGTTGACAAAATCAGTTTAACTTCCGTTTCGTTTTCCCCGATCTATTTCTCCAAGTATTCCGTCTGTCAAACATTTATCTTATTCCATTTAGCTCGAGCAGCAAACTCAAAAAAGATCCAACGAGAAGAGAGGGAACACTTCCGCTCGATCATGACTATATAGAGAAAAGAAACATTCTTCCGCGACAGGATCTTTAAAAATATGCATTCGTGAAGAATAGACGTGAAGAAATTATTGAATGTTTAACGATTGAAAATTCTATTTCCTATGAAGCATTCTACTGTATTTAAAGTTTGAAAAAATTTCAAACGCAACATTTTTGGACTTCAAAGAGTTTTTAGTCCTGTAATTATTAACTTGGACTAAAAAAGATCCGTTCATTTTTGGACTTTTGGAAAGTTTGAAAATGAGGAATGCTACTCGAGTTTTTAGTCTGATGAGGTAATGCATGTTCCTCGGCTGATGGTACACTTATTGAAGATTTTAGCAGTACAGCATTTTAAAACAGTTCTATTCATAAAAGATGCTCACTTGACTCGATATAAACATTTTACCCATCCATATTGAAAATAGAGTTGAAATCAATAGGAAAATATAATTCAAATTGGCAATAAAATAAAGCATTTTGAACACCTCATCACATGACATTATTAACTGTTCAAGCAAGTATAGGTGATGTGATTGACATTTTTTTAAATCGAAAAAGTCCCTAATTATTCATTTCAAGGAATCTCAAAACTTATGGATCAGCCCTATGGTGTCTTTATTGAAGAAGCTCTAAAAGAAATTGTCGACAGCGAACTTGCGCTGTATTTTTGACATTGTGACTCGTCATTCATTTCGGGAATGTGAGCGGTTGTCGACTTCAATTGTGAACTATATATTTTTTTCAGTACTGCGACAAATATCTTCTTTCTTATCAGTCCTCGTAACTTTTTGACAAGATCGCCTCACGTTGGAGTGGTTCTCACGCGAGGCAAATATTTTTCACTTCTCAAAGGTCGGTGAATGTTCTTTTTTTTTTCAAGTGGAAAAGTTCACTGGAAAATGATTTACCGCAAAATCATTTTGAAGTTATAGTGCTCGTTTTTGCGCATTTTCATATAAGCTTTCATCTACAGGGCCACGTGTTATCACACTGACTTATTCTCTGAAAACGTAATGCCTTTCTCGTTCGGGTTTTCATTTCTTTTTTCGAGGAAGTACTACGAAAAAAATGTCAATGACGTTCGATATCAAGCAACCGCAGGAATAAGGTATAAAAAAGTACACTGTAATGTTCCTTATTCTCGAGAGAAAACTCGATCGGGTTCAATTTTCATACTCAATCAAATTATTTTACTATGTACTATTGAACCATGTTGTTCCGTCATGAAATATGAGCCTGATGAATGAGGATCCTTTAAAAAGAAAAAGGGAGCGAACAAGATTTTATCTAATCTGTGCTTCTATTAGATTTCGAGCAATTAATGCGGGAAATTCTTCGTCTTGAAAACATTGCCAACTCTCAAATACAAGCCAGTCAATTTTTACAATTAACATCAGTGATATTGTTCTATTATTCAAGGGGGTGCATATCATCCGGGAACTTTAGTCCAGAAATTTCAAGATCTATATGTGTCAGCGTTTTTGATCATCGACTTGAAAATAAGCTAGACTTGTGTTTTTTTGTTGCTGTTTCATTTTTCCTAGGAAATGCCGCGCTGTCAATGAAACTCATCAAGTGATAAACTGTGCGTTTGAAAAAGCAAGAAAAAAGTTTGTAGAGCTTTTCGGTACGGAAAATGTCGAATTTCCCTGCCCCTGAACCTGCGGGTTCCCCCTTGCCACCACCGCCGCCGCCGGATTCGCCGCCTTTGCCGGCGCCACCCGACGATTGTCCTGGCGATGAGGACTCATTCCCGACGTATCAGCAAAACCCAACTCAACAATACCATCAGCGCATGATGGAAAACAATCCTATCAGCAATGTGCAGCACTCAGCTCGTGCATCTCCTTCGTATTCCACCCGTCAAGTGAGCATTTCCCGCCTCCCCCCTCCCCCGTTTGAGTAAAGAAACATTTCACCAAGATAATATTCTTGAAGAATACGTGTGTTCGATTATTAAACTTTTTATTTTTATGATTTTAAAAATTTTGGAGACGATTTAAAAATCTAGAATGAATTATTGGTTTGAAAATCCAAATTCAAAGGACTCATGATTTCAGGGTCCGCTTCTCATACAATTCAGTATACCTGCTTCTTATGCATTTCGCACTGCTGAAATACAAACTGTACCTTCAACTGATGTATAGCTATAGCGTAATATAAAAATTCAAATTTCACACATGGATATATTTTGTTTGCGAAAGTAACCCTTATTGAAATAAATGTATATACAGTATTCGATGCGATACGTTAGTATAAATTATGCTTTTCGGACTTTGTGTGTAATATTTTAGCTAATATTTATAGCATAAAGAGCACGTGTTGGGCAGAGCTTTTCATAAAGAAAAGATCAAGTTACTGCCGAGTACGATTTTTTCGCATGGCACCACTTGACAATTACGGTGGACGACAAAGTAATAAGGGAAAGGCTTCAGACAAGTAGCAAAACCCTGTTTTGTGAATCTTGATGTGCAAAATGGCGAAGTAAAAATGTGTGCAGATTATAGAGGATTGATGCTTTCTGAATACTGTATCTGCACTGAGGATTTATTAAAGGAATTGCAGTTCTAAATGTCGTACAATCTCCTGAACTGTTTTCTTAATCATCAAGGAACATTAGTACAGTGTTTAAAACTTGGTCTATCTTTCAGAGCATTTTTTGGCATATGTTTGCACAAAAAATGATGTTATCCTTTGTTAACAATATAGTACAGTACTGTGATTAAGTTTTCTGAAAGGGTCAGCAATGGCTTAATTGGTACGTCCAAACCTCAAGACTCATTTTGGTGCAACTGTCCATATTTTTTTCCGCAAAAGAGAAACATCGCAATCCAATTTTTTGAAACTTCCCATTTTGATTTTTTTGGTTATGTCTGTGAAGGGGAAAGAAGAAAAGGTGAAAAATTAGATACATGATTGAATAACTACCTTATCTTCGCAGAAATTCACCATCAGATAAAAATGTCAGTGAACAACTCATCATTCCGTATTCATGATTGCCAGCGCTCCAATAATAGGAAGTTTGGACGAATCCAAAAAATAATAAAAATACCGTAAGCTCATCATCTGCTGTTGGATATGAGTCATCCAGATGAAGAAAAATACATCATTCGACAATATAAGAACGTGGGGGGAAAAAAAGCTACAGAGATAAAAATAATTACTGTATATACATTTTTCCCAAGGCGGACGAGCTACAGAGAAAAAATAATAATTACTGCACAGTGTATACATTTTTCCCAAGGCAGACTTTAATCTCATATTATTATTATTCCCCACCCTTTCCACCAGTCTCCTCAGGTTCCAAGAAGAGACGCATCAGCGACCTACGTCAGCCGGAGAACCACTAATCCGCATTACGCGAGCGTGATCCCTCCGCCGCCGTTGGAAGAGGCGCCTGCGCCGCCGTCGCTCCACCATCACTTATCCTCGACATCGGAAGACAGTTCGCACTTGTACGACACAATCGGCGCCAAGTGCGGGTTCGACGAGGACGGATTCCCGTTGCCGCCCCCGGAGGACGACGATGACGACGTCCTGACGCCCACTGCGGCGCCTGCGAGTCTCAACTACTCTGACAACAATTACGCGAGTCGTGGGGTCGCCAAAACCTGGTGAGTTTTCCCCTAGGAAACGCATGATCCGACACGCGACGTGTTTCGCTTCCCAATTCATAAAAATTTGCCACAATAATACTGTACTCAAATAATGAATTATTTGAGTGTTGCGCAATTTGCGCAGGAGGAACTTTTAAAAATATGAAATTTTAAACATTGTAATCGTCTAATAAATGCACGGAAACCCTGAGAAATAAAGTTTCAGAAAGCAAGGAATGATAAATAAGAGATTGGTTTCGAGCGAAGTTGAAAGCGCCTGAAGACGAGATCAATGACATGTTCCATTCGTGATGAACAGCTGAATAATGAGGGATGCAATTTAAATTTACTGAAACGAGAGCTTAGTGTAGATTGGATGGCATATTTATTTACGATACTACAGTATTGAGTATGATGGCCACATTGTTGCTTTGCAATTATGGTCTGTAAACCAATACTTTAGTTTCTCTCATTTCTTGAAAGAAAAAATGCAGTGATCAATGTAGACTTTCAAAATGAATACAGCACTAGAACGGAAAAGGATCATTCCTGCAAATTTTCTCAGAGTGAATAAATGCTATTATAGTACAGTCATAGTTACGAAAACTTCTTTATTCGTTTCTAAACTATAAACAAAAAATGCGGAAGGGAAGCTGGTTGTTGAGTTTTATGTTAAAATAAAGATAGCCATTCGCATGTATAGAAATAAGCTTTGAATTAGTTACAGTACTTTTCTTAGAATAGATGGGCAAAAAAAGTCACGCAGAATAAGTGACATATGAGAGCCAAATCTAAGAAAAGTCATTACAGCATTTAAAAATATGAAACATGTCTGCAATTTTCAGAAATTTGATGAAAAATGTTTTCATGTAAATCCCAATTTGTATTCAAGGATGTAAAATATATTGGTTTCATCTATAATATAAAAAAGAATTATATGACTGTGTGAGTAACTGAGTATATAATGCAGGTGTGTACATTATGGTACCCAACCAAAAGCCCCCCCATGCCTAAAGCCCCCCTAGGTCAAAAGCCCCCCCTGCCAAAAGCCCCCCCTCACTTTTTTTTATTCAGCTTTCTGCTTTAAACTGAATAAATAATTCTTAGTGGAAAATTTTAGAATCAGCAATGATTGCATCACCAAAGGATGACAGAAATGCAGTATAGGAATGTTGAAAAAGTGTGCAGAATTTGGCGACATTGTAGGTGGTACAGTATTTGGTGATGTTGGTCAGCATCAATGGAGAAGTAGATTCAATCCTCTGGTTCCTTCCATCCTTTAACTGTCATTTCAGTCATGATCTCAAATTTGGCTGCGGACTTCAGTTGAGTAGGTGGTACAGTATTTGGTGATGTTGGTCAGCATCAATGGAGAAGTAGATTCACTCCTCTGGTTCCTTCCATCCTTTAACTGTCATTTCAGTCATGATCTCAAATTTGGCTGCGGACTTCAGTTGGATGCAATGAATTGACAAAGAAAGAAAAAGATCAGAATTATTTCTTGAAAAGTGATGGTTCCTCCATTCTCTACAGATTTTTTTACCATTGATGAAGACACTCTTCTGTAACCTTGACGGAATCCTTAAATTCATCTCAAATGATTGCTACTGGGTGGCAGTTCAAACTTTTGAATAACCCTTTGTATGGTAGAAAAGCAGTGATGGGTCACAAATTTGTCCTACTAAATCCATGTAGTACATATTTGAGTCATTATCTATGGAGAGGCATATGTAGATTCCATTCACTTTTTTTTTTTAATCAGATGCAAGTTTCTTCTCAATCACGACATATACTTTCATTCTTGACTATCACTGATGAACATTTCATCAGTGATAGTCAATGAACGTTGTTGAAAGAGGAAAAAAAACTGAAAACCAGAATATTTGAAAGATCTTTGCGATCTTTCTTCTGAATCCAGTACCTTTTTGTGTTATTTCTTATCGATTGACAGTGAAATGACAGTGAAAGGATGGAAGGAACCAGAGGAGTGAATCTACTTCTCCATTGATGCTGACCAACATCACCAAATACTGTACCACGTACAATGTCGCCAAATTCCGCACACTTTTTCAACATTCCTATACTGCATTTCCGTCATCCTTTGGTGATGCGATCATTGCTGATTCTAAAATTTTCCGCTAAGAATTATTTATTCAGTTTAAAGCAGAAAGCTGAATAAAAAAAAGTGAGGGGGCCTTTTGGCAGGGGGGGCTTTTGGACTACACCCACTCCGATCCCGCCACAAACTTTTTACGAGTCATTGAAATACAGTATAAGCGAAGTTTTCAACCGGAATGATTATTTGGGGCAGTGCTTTTCATGGATGCAAATCTTGTTCTCGTGAAATCAAGGCTGATTTGCAGCGATTTATTGTGAAGAATATTACATGAGGGCTTATTGTTTTAAACGTGTACTGTATTTTTTTAATGAAAATTATGTTTTATTGCACATTTGTGTGTATCAAACCAATAAGATTCTCCTGAATCTCAGTATAAAGTTGATTTTCTAGGCTTTTCCATTCTGACAGCATATTTTCGCATCGCAAACATTAAACCGAAAAACCTAGGATTACGAAGAGAAAACACATATTGGTATAACTGTTATTGTTGAATCGAATTCAAATTCACTGGAGGACACTTTTTATTCTGACGTACCACACTTACTCAAGTTATTTTACGGACATGTTTTAAGAAAAAAAAAATTCGGTGGAGATGAATGTCGGGTAAAATGGTTTAACAGAATGGAAACACTTTTCAGAAACATGATATAAGAAAGTAATGCTCACATTTCTTTGGTTGACAATTTTTGGCAGGATAAGAAATGTCATTTTCGTCTCGCCTAGACATTAAAAAAAATGTCCAAAGGCTAGATGAAATGGACTTTTCCCCCTTTCTAAGTTTATAAATTGATTTTGGATCCCGTGCTCATCGAATTCGAAGTACTCGTAATGTTTCCGACTTTCTGCGATTCGGATTCAATTTCATCACTCGTAATATTCGTAAGTAAGGTATTTAGATAGAAATATAATGATTTAAATGCATGAAATCTGTCACAAAATTGCTTTATAGATCTATTTAGACTATAGTCAAACTGATCTATAGTCAAAATGATGCACGAGCTTGCATCAGATCAACAAAAAATAAATGTTTTGATTCGAAAATTATCCCGATTATAGACAGAAAATGACCTCGAAAAGTCCCCTTATTTCCCATGCACTGCAAATTAATTTTTGACGCATGCATTCAAGTATTATTCATTCATTAGAAACTGAGCTCAAATTCAACACGCGTTGGTAAAGATCGCATTCTTGCCAATGCTAAAATCACGAGAACGGCATTATTTGAAAGAGCTTTGTGTGTCTGGATTTCAGCAGGAATTGAGGTGCCAAACCCGGTTCAGATGGAGGACATGAATTGCTTCGTATTTGCCTGGCTTTCCTCCACACGCTTCTGTGTTCTTTGTTCGCATTGTTGGAGATGATTAAATCCCTTAATAAGCTCTCCAGATTCAAGTGTTTGTTAAATAGAGACAAGAGTCAGTCGAGATTACGAAGAATAAGCTCAAGCACTTTCCTCGCTGTTTGTCCCAAACCCGGAAGAAAATCAAACTAAGTCGAATTCGGAAATTGAATGTGCGGTATTCTTCCCTTATCTTGTCGTATCATATACCGTATATTTACAAAGAATAAATGAATGAAAAACTTGCAACGGAACGAACCTCCGAGTTTGACAAAAGCTGATCCTTGAGCAGAGTCTTCGTCATTGGACACGAAGCACTGGTACATTCCCTGGAAACCAGTTTCCATTTTCGTAATTCTCAAGACGGAAAAGTCGGGTCCAGTGAGAGTGATTCCGTAGGTTTGTTGCAGGGCTTCGCCGTCCTTCAGCCATCTGACCCCACCAGTCACTGGGCCACCGGAAACTGAGCATTCTAGCTCTGCCCAGTGTCCCAAGTCCACAATCTGTTTGAAAAAAAAAAACACAATTTCAGAGGGTGAGACCCCAAGATGCGGACATAATTGGTGCATCAAGAGTCTCCACAAGTCAAAATGTCCCTACGTTGAGTCTTGTTTTCCCATAGACTTACATTATATAATTTTTAATTGGTGT